GTTGCTGTTGGATGAACCTGAAGCTGGGCTAGGATGTGCCTGTGATTCGTGTGAAATTGGGCGAGTTGAACCACATGTGTTGGGTTTTAATTTAAAATCAGCATGAGCTAAAAATGACGGGTAGTTTGAATTTGAAACTTTGAATTCAGCCTGAAGTACAATTGGCTTGGCGCCATTTTTAGAACTTTTCAAAACCAGCTACTGGCAGGAGGGCTGGTTTGGCTGGAGCCTGGAATTGGCTGGCTGGGCTGGCTGGTCCAGCCCCAGCACCAGCCAGCCAATTCAGCCCTGCCGAACAGGCTGCTGGACTCCACCTGCCACTATACAGAGTACAACTCTCCTCTTCTCTAGGGATAGAAGTCGGTCAGATTTAAATTGGATAGCATGCTTTCCACATTTATATATATTTTAAAATAGATACATACAAATTTGAATATGCTCGAATTGGATTGTTCATATCTTAATTTGAATTCAGATATCATATAGTTAAATATCAATTCTTTTTCTTAATTAAAAGTTTCTTCATCCCATAAAGAATGTCATTCTTATGTTTCGAGGAGGCAATAAATTTCATGTTTGACAAATATATAAAAAATACTAATATATATGATACTAATCATTAGATGAACCATATTGTATATTTTCATAATAAATCTATTTAGGGCCTTGTTTAGATTGAAACTTTTTTCAACCTGATAAATAGTACCACTTTCGTCTTATTTGGCAAATATTGTCCAATCGTGGACCAACTAGGCTCAAAAGATTCATCTCGTGATTTCCAACTAAACTGTGTAATTAGTTATTTTTTTTACCTACATTTAATACTCCATGCAAGCGGCTAAAAATTGATGTGATGGAGAGAGAGTGAAAAAACTTAGAACTTTGATGGGATCTAAACAAGGCCTAGAAATACAAATGTTGATAATATTTTTTTTATAAATCTAGCCGCACTTAAGGAAGTTTAATTTAGTCTCAAACCTCATATGACATTATTTTTAGGATAGAGGCAGTATGATTGCTTTTTAGCTTATGAATAGAAACATATTAAGCCTAATAAAACATCATGTTAGATGATTAAAATTATTAAATTTAGTTTCTATTACTAAATTAATATTTCCTTATTTGTATGATCATATCATGAAGAACAAATGTAAAAACTAATGCTTTGGCTAACTATTAGGCTATTATTATATATAATGAAAAACTAGGCTAATACTACCTCTGCCCTCGTTGTCATGGACAAATGCCCGTATCCTCCATCCACGCAACATATAACAAGCCACCTTCGTAACACACCAAGTGCAACAGAGTTGTCTAACGTAATCATCTTATTGAGCGCTCCTAATTACTTCTTGCAAGCTTTGGATGAGACTCTTGGTTGGGTGCCTGTTCTCTGCGGCGGAGGATGACGCCGGCGTGGTGAGCTCCATCCTTGAGCTGTGCAGCCTGGACAAGCAGCGGAGCCTGGCAGTGAACAAGACCGGGGCTTACGTCAGCGTTCAGGAGGGCTTGGTGACGACAAACGCCGTCGAGAACAAGCATTTCTTCAGGAAGGGGATCATGGGCGGCTGGAGGAACCACATGACACCAGAGATGGCAGCAAGGCTGGATGGCACATCGTCGAGGAGGCACTCCAGGGATCAAGATTTACCTTTGGCAACAAAATGCAAGTAATTAGGGCGCGTTTGGCACGGCTCCGCAGCCTCCGATTTACTGTCGTCACCGGAGTTGGAGCTGGAGACAGGAGCCTCAAATCGCAGCTTCGCTTCCGTACGTTAAAGACAACTCTGGCTCGGTGGCTCCTCTGCAGTATGTCCAGAGCATCCTCCTCCTGTGAGTGTTTGGTGAGGTTCCATTCGGAACACCATTGCAGATAACTGTTATTTCTTTTTAGTGTATTTTTTAAATGTACGATCGTCCATCATGCCTGTCGTTAGTGTCTGAACCTCGCAAAACTTTGTAAGGCTATGTGCATCCTTGTTATGCAGAGAGGCCGACAGTGTTTCAAGATCTTTATATCACTCGATGTAATGAACTTGAATATAATAAAGCTTCCCTTATTGACAAAAAATGCCGGTCATTAGTTAGATTGTTGTACATTGTTATATTTCTTTTAGATGAAAAAAGTAATATATATTGTTGCACTAATTGTGAATCAAACCATTCACACTTGTTTGTTAACATTGAACATGCCTACACACAGACAAACCAAGAGGGAAACCTACTAGTACGTGGTTTATACTGTACTAGCAAACTTGCTAGTAAGTTACAATGAAATCCAATACGATAGAAATCGAACTCGTTTCATCGCTAGATGCGAGTTGCTCTAGCTCGTAGTATGTGCACGAATCATGAGTCAAGGTCATGTACGATATATGGAGGGCGTGGCGTGTACGCCTTGGAATCGCACTTTGAATCGATCATCGCTATACTCGAGTTATTTTAACTTATATGATCATGGGTCACAACTCAAGGTCACATATGAGACATTGAGGACGTGACAGGTGAGCTCAATTTGAAAAGTAAAAAAAAAAAGTGATACAGAAGAAACTTTTCACTATCCTGTAGTTTGGGGAGGTGGATGAAAAAAAGCAAGATTAAATTTTGCCTAGGTATAAATACAATTGTGACCATGTATTAGCGTGGACCTCATCAACAACGATGGCTGTGGTTGCCTGCTTTTCACTTTTCAGCGTGGACCGTATGTATGCAAGCTTTTTTGGCAGTGGGGACCGTCGCATGCAATCGGCTCCATCTCCGTTTCTAAAATGGCTCCACTCATTGCGTGCTCAGGCAGCTCTCGGCTCGGTTCCTCCATCCCTCGCCGCTCATTCACACTGTCCTTCCTCTCCCATCACCATTGACCAGTCACCACTTAGTTTATGGCATCTGTCGCCCCCGCCTGACTCCTCTCCCTCCTATAGGTATTAGCACTTAGTTTAAAATATCTATAGTTTTAGCGGCGTGGCTAGCGCCCGGACGTTCGGACGGACGCGCGCGTCTAGACGCCCGCATGCAAGTGCACTCCGCCCCATCTCTCAAGCCTGCCGATCCATCCCCTGACCCCCTCCTCTCTCTCGAGACTCTTTGCATAGCGACAATCGGGAGCCAAGATGAGCGGGTGAGGACGATCACGCCCCCAACACCCTCATCCCCCGCGCCCGTTCAAGACGGGCCCCGACTCATCCCACGGCCGAACAACGTAAAACACTTGCAACGTGAATGCAACATAAGATTAAAAATAGATAAAACATTTGGAACATGCACTTGTAATATGTGTGTGAAACACATGAAACATCCAAATAAAACACTTGCAACTTGTAACGTGAAACCACTTGCTGCAACATAAGACTGAAATAGCTGAAACATTTGAAACGTACTGTTGCAAAATATGTGTGAAACATATGCAACATGCCAACATCTAGATAAAAAATGATTGCAACATACGTCCGAAAACAGATGAAACATTTTAAACAAACGCTTGCAACATGCCTCTAAAACACTTGCAACATGCCTCTGAAACACTTGCAACATATATGCAACATGTGCAACATCTCCCGATCTACTTTTACAACATCAAGATGAAACAATTGCAATATATATATGAGACGTCTGAAACACTTGAAACATACATATGCAATATAGAGGAGAGAAGGCCGGGCCGGTCGATTCCGGCTATCGATGGGAGCCGACGGTGAGCCGCGGCGCGCGAGCACCACCAGTACCGGCCACGCTCGTGGGTGCCCTTGGCTCAGCCGGGGAAGACCTGAGGCGCCACGGCATGTGCGCCCCAACGGCCATGACGGGGTCAGCGGCGCGCCCGACGGCGATGGGCGACGGACGGATGACGAGGGAGCGAGCGACACAGGTGACTAGGACGCAGGTGAGCGGTGCAGGGAGCGAGGGCGCGCAGCGCGGCCGACGATGGGGAGAAGGGCACGATACAACAGCCCAACGAGCGCGTGGTGGGGGAAGGGGTCGGACGGATGAGCGGCCACGCTGCTTCGGGCGTCGGGTGGATAAGCATATGAGAGCGGGCGCTGGGCGGAAGTCACGGACGAAGCCCGTGTTGGATCATTATCGTAGTTTTAAAGCTAGCATGCAACATACCATGTTTATATCAAAGCTTGCAACTTTCCTTACTCTCTACTCTTGGCTATATTCTTCCTTGAGAGTTGCATCACTGTAGCATGGAAAAGGTACCTTACTCAAGATGAAAAATATTTAGCGCTAGCTATTGTGCTGCCGAACTGCACCTTTTGCCAACGTGACAACAGAGACAAGAGCTAGAGCTGCACTGATATACTACTGCTTACTGATCACAAGTTAGCCACAAGGGAAACACTTAAATAATTAAGTACACAAGAAAGAAGGCAACAATAATTACTTCACTGCTGCAAAAGATGCCTCACTCCAACATGTCAAGCACCATTGCATTAGCAGACCACTCTTTCTGAATTGAGATTCAGACTGAAGTATCAGAACTCACAAGGAGAGGAGGAGACAAGAGAGACCCGGCCGGATTCTTGGTGGATCAACTGCCTCCGTCTTTCATCGTCCTCCGAGTTCCATTCCAACCCGTGGTTCCCACAGAGGGAATTGGCGGCCGAGTGACGAATGCGACGACGGACAGAGATTTCAGCTGAGACAGAGATTGCACACCGTTTCTTCAGTCTTCCATAGAATTCACACCAGTACACATCTACCGCGCTTTCCATGCACGAGGGTCGACGGGCAACACGCCCTTCAAATACAGCTACAGCGACTGAACATTTTAGATTTAATTTTTACCGTTTTAAAAAGGGAGCCATTTCTGTCTTGACTGGCGACGAAAGAATGCCACTTACGCTTGCTCGTCCGGTTCAGGTTGCTTCTGACCTCCATGACAGCAAGAGCTTCACTTTCTCAATAGAAAACGTGCAGCAGCAGCCAGCCAGGAGGAGGAGCTCACATTTTAGCAACAGAAACGATCGATAAGCAGCAACAAGCAGTCGTCGGCCATGCCATTGTCAGGCCTCGCTATCGCCGTCTTGCTGCTGATCTCCATGGCTTCCAGAGCCAGGCCATGCACTGAGCAGGAGAAGAGCTCCCTGTTCCACTTCATTACAGGGCTCTCATGGGACGGCGGCCTTGCCATGTCGTCGTGGCGGAACAACGGCACGGCGGCGGCCGACTGCTGCTCGTGGGAAGGCATCACCTGCGGTGGAGGCGGCGTGGTAGTCACCGAGGTCTCCTTGCCCGGTAGAGGACTCCAGGGGCCCATCTCGCCGGCCCTCGGTGACCTCGCCGGCCTGCGCCGACTCAACCTCTCCCACAACTCGCTGTCCGGCGAGCTGCCACTGGAGCGGCTCCTGAAGTCGTCCTCTCCCACTCCCAGTGGCTTAGTCGCCATCGACGTCAGCTTCAACCGCCTCGAGGGAGAGCTCCGCGAGCTGCGATCGTCTAATTCAGGCTGGCTGTTGCAGGTGCTGAACATCTCGAGCAACCGATTTACCGGGGAGTTCCCGTCAGCCACGTGGCAGGCCATGGGTGATCTGGTCGTGCTCAATGCCAGCAACAACAGCATCCATGGAAGGATGCCTTCTTCCTTCTGCATCAGCTCATCGACGTCCTTCGCCGTGCTTGACCTTCGCTACAACCAATTCAGCGGACGCATCCCAGTTAGTCTAGGTAACTGCTCATCGCTCCGAGTGCTCAGGGCTGGGCACAACAGATTCAGTGGGACGCTCCCGGATGAACTCTTCAACGCCTCCTCGTTGGAGCACCTCTCGCTTCCAAACAATGGCTTGCATGGACAACTTGACGGTGCACGTATCGTCAACCTCAGAAATCTCGCCCATCTTGATCTCGGAGGCAATGGGCTAGATGGAAAGATCCCAGACTCCATAGGTGAGCTCAGGAGACTCGAGGTGCTTCGTCTGGGCCATAACAACATGTCCGGAGAGCTGCCACCAACCTTGAGCAACTGCACAAATCTCATGACGGTTGACCTTAAGAACAACTATTTCAGCGGAGAGCTTACCAGGATCGAGTTCTCTGCCCTGACCAACCGGAAGACGTTGGATCTTCTTTTCAACGGCATTACCGGCATGATTCCGGAAAGCATCTTCTCGTGCAGCAATCTTAGTGCGCTGCGGCTGGCTGACAACAGATTACACGGGCAGATATCACCGGGAATAGTCAATCTGAAGTCTCTTGTTTTTCTGTCACTTGCTTTCAACAATTTTGCAAACATCACCAACACGCTCCATGTCCTCAAGGATTGTAAGAACCTCACCATCCTGCTTACTAATAGTAACTACAAGGGTGAAGCCATGCCGGAAGATGAAGCGATTGAAGGATTTCAGAATCTTCGGATTCTCTCCCTAGCTAGGTGCTCATTATCAGGGAAGATACCACTTTGGCTATCAAAGCTCAAGAATCTCAATGTGCTGTTTTTGCAAAATAATCAACTCAGTGGACCAATACCTGCCTGGATAAAGAGCCTAAAGTCGCTTTTCCATCTAGACATATCATACAACAAACTTGCAGGGGAAATACCGACAGCGTTAATGGAGATGCCAATGCTAACAGCAGAAAATACGGCGATCCATTTGGATCAAAGTATATTTCTGCTGATTGTTTACAGAGGTACATCATTTGAGTACAGGGTAATCAGTGGTTTCCCAAATATGCTGAATCTTGGCTATAACAACTTCACTGGAGTGATCCCTAAAGAAATTGGTCAGTTGAAATCGCTCAGTATACTCAATCTCAGCTCTAACAGCTTGTCCGGAGAGATTCCGGTGCAGCTCTGCAGCCTGAAGAATCTGCAAGTGCTAGACTTGTCAAACAACCTCCTCACAAGTGCAATCCCATCAGATCTTAACAAACTTCACTTCCTCTCTACAATCAATGTTTCTAACAACGATTTGGAAGGGCCAATTCCAAGAGGAGGCCAGTTTAGTACATTCACAAATTCAAGCTTTGGGGGCAATCCAAAGTTGTGTGGAAATGCTATTGATCGGCCTTGTGGTTCGGCTGAAGCGCCTCTGGTCTCTACTCTCACCACAGAACAAAAAGACAGAAGGATCGCCTTTGCGATTGCTTTTTGTGCTTTCTTTGGTGTAGGGGTGTTGTATGATCAAATAGTAATGTCAAAGTATTTTAGCTGAGTTTACATATGGGTTTATTTTTGTCATACATGGCGCTACCGAGCTGTAGCAACGTCTGTAATGGACAAGCTTTGCTTAATCTCTTATTATCAAAGTAGGGAGCTTTGGCCATTAACCAGACCGTCCACGTCGCCCCGTTTTTTTTTGTCCGTCCGATCTCCCAACGTGCGGTCCAGATGGATTGTAGCCGCTTCAGCGTTCTTGGGCCGCCTCTCAGCCTATCCGCGCCGCTCCATCGTTTACAGCTGTTGGATCTTCCATCGTGTGGCCATGGTTGTCTGGAGCGGATTCGGCCGGCAGCGGCTTCTGCCGCTCCGGCTTCGCTTCCACAGCTTTCCCGTAAATTCTCTCGGTGTTGTGCGGCTTCTGCTCCGGAGCAGGCCCATCAGATATATACGCCGGCTTCCGATTCTGCCTTCCCAATCCTTCCACCGCTCCCTCTCGCGTCCGCATCCGCATCCGCGCCTCTTCCCTCTCCCTCAGCTCTCACGGCGGCGGCTAGGGTAGGCCCCCACCGCGGCGGCCAGGCGAGGCCGCGGTCCGGCGGCCCCCTAGCACGGACACGTGCCGACCAGGCGAGGCCGCCCACCAGCGCGGCGCCGCGGGTGCGGCCCCCAGGCACGGCGGTGCGGCAGAGCGGGCCGACTACTCCCCTCGGCATAGCTGTGCGATGGCGCCGGTGGGCCCCAAGGGCGCACCCAGCACGCAGCGGCTCCGGCGTGAGCAGACGCAGGTGAAGGTGGCCTCTCTCCTTGCTCCTCCTCTCTTTCCCTCGCCGGTGCCCAGCGTCGATCTGTGCGGTCTGTGGTTGTTGCCTTCTTTGCTGGGTCGATCCGGGGCCTCCATGGCCGGATCCCGTCGTTCCCCGCGAGAGCACCCAGCACGGCCAGCCCGGAGTCACGAGCGGCCCCGGCGGCGACGCAGCCCCGAACGACGTCGCCTTGCCCCGCTTCCACGAAACCCTACCTGCCTGTGCTCCACGGCTCCGCTGCTCGTGCCATCTTCGTCGCCGACGGCCACGATGGCGTCTCAGCTCCGAGTCTGGATCTGGCGGATCTCTTGTCTCCTCGTTGATTTATGGGACGCAAGGTACCCAGCTAACCCCACCACACTTCTGCTGGCAAGTGTATCGCTCAATTAAATCTAGGTTTGGCCGCAGGTAGAAGCTGTGAAGGAATCAGTTGCCGGCTGACAATTTTCTCTGAAATCGTCTAATAGCTGTTTTTGTATTCTGTGTTGTTCTATTTTTTCGGATGTTCTACTACATCCAGTGTGTTCGAACAATCGCCCAGGGTCAAAGATGCAGCTGTCACCTAATCTGCAAGTTCAGTGCAAAAGTCTTGAGAAGTCTAGACAAGCCAGATCAGCAGCGGCGATCACGTTATCTTCAGTTTGTTCCTACTACAAAGTTAAATTAGTATATGTATTACTATATGCATATAATGGGGTATCATTTAGTGATTCACAATCATCGCTCTCATGTCTGCCTTGTTCCCAGCCTGTAGCATTTGAGCTTGATGTTCCTCCAGAGGACATCATTGCAGACCTCATCATTGCAAACCATCTGCTCTTTGCATTTCGGGGGAGTACACTGGATTTCTTGCCACAGAGGCCACTTCACACAGTGGGGGTAAAGTTGTGATGATTTCGTTCTAGCACCGTCAAAAAATATCTTCAGCTTTTCCTTTGGGTCATTTTGCAATTTGTCCTGTGCACATCTTCAGTTTGTTTCCAGCTAAAAAATTAAATTAGTATAAATGACATGAATAAGCTATAAATTGCTTCATGAAATGTCTCTAAGGTTGTATTTAAAAAATAGATATGGCTTAATTTATATTTATCTATGCACACATAAAAACAGTTCAAGGTTTATATGTGCGAAACCTGAATGGGTTAGTTTGTATTTGCACACCTAAAATGATGTCGTGTTTAACAAAATGGAATTTGGGCCTGTTGCTGCAGCTCGGTACCTCAGTTTTTTTTGTCTATGTGCTGAATCTGTTACATACATGACTTCTCTTTGTGTTGTCTTATTTACAGACTTATTTCCTTGCGTTAGGTAATTTCATGTTCATGGGCAGCTTCTATGCAGATGCAGTTTCCTGGATGTGCTCCACCAGACCCTACACGCATCCTCCTCGACCTTTATTTGCATACTCTTGAACGGCTCCTGTGGTATTGAATGGTCTGTCTTGCTGATTTTTGTGCCAAAAATATTTCATACATTCTACTGTTATTTAATATGTCTGCATCTCAGTCTCACATAACTGGATTGAAGCTATATGAAACCTCTACAACCAAATAATACATTAGACTTTTAAATTTATATAATTATTCCTGCTACAGAAACTTTCCAATTTATAGGTTCTCCCTGCCAAAATCTTAAAGTTTTCCCTTGCAAGCTATGTGAGCTGCTAACTTCCCACCTCCACATGTTCACTTGACCAAGTATTAGCTGATTTGTTGCTGTCTATTTCCCTGCCAAAATTTTAAAGTTTTCCTTCCAAGCTATGTGACGTCCTACCTTCCCCCTCCACATGTTCACTTAGACAAAGTATTAGTTGATTTGTTGCTGCCTATTGACATGCCATATTTACATAATATAAAGGCGCTTGCCGTATTGTAGTGCTGATGATTATAGTTATAAGTGTTTTTATGCCTCGGTTTGAAATTTAGAGTGGCCTTGATTTAAGATTTGAAGTGTCTATAGTCTGGATTTATGAGATATTTTGGGTTTTCAGTTTTTGTCTATTACCATGGATTATGTCACATTCAAATTTGGACTGAACAGCTCAAGGCCCTGTGCAGGTATTCTAGTCTTCATGTGATAATTTTGGAATGCTTCTTGTCTTCAGTTAACTCCAATCTCCTAATGTGTTGGTTTTTGGTTTCATATTTACTGGGCAGGTTGCTTCTTCCCCAAATCAATTTACATTTTTTCAATTTTATCATCTATGCTACTGTAGTTTTTCGTTCTTCGCACCAGGTACGTACAACAGCTATATATATAGTCATGCGATCTCCTTACTATATTTAAAGCGTTAGTTCTCAAATTAACTGAGTTGTTAGTTATGCCGGCCATTTTTCTAATTAATCATGGAGATGTATTTGCCTTTCACCGCCTATTTACATTGTATAATTAAAATGTACTGTCCTTTTCCTATTTACACTGCCTAATCAGGGATATAATATTTGGAAAAATCCTGTTATACATATTCAGTTAACATGTGTTAGTACCTTTCGTATAACACCATCTCCATACCACAAACAGGTCCAAATCCAGTGCCTCCAAGCTTCAGCCAAAAGGCAGTACCCGTAGGCCTTCCCAAGTCCCAAAATAGGTAAGCACTACACAGCTGCTCGGGCTTATACATAACTCCATACTCTTGTGCCGCTCCACACAATTTCTAAACTTGCTGTTATACAGTATGCAAATCAGTACATAGTACAAAGAGTTGTCGCTGAGCTTTTTGGAGCACCCAGTAAACCACACCTGCACAACCCCTCAAACAAAAACAGACGACTATTCTCTAGTTTAGAGTTATATCCATCAACAGAACTACTAGGTAAGCCTTACTTATATAGCCTTTCACGTCCTTTGTAAATGAATTGACTTACAACATACAGTTCAGCTTCTTCAAAGCTTAAAAAAGGATACCCTGTCTAGCCTCTTTATAAGCAAGGACCGTTCGTTTGCCTACATGTAGCAACATTTTCCGAAGGTGATAGTATCATTTTAATAGTTGGAAACTAAATAACCAGAAGATGTCTCCCTGCTATTGTTGATCGTAGCAGGATACAACTTTTAGGTTGATGTATATACCATTAGATAGAGGTCAGCTAATCGACACATCTATCATTTTAGTTTTTTTAACAAATTTGGACATCTAAGATGTCGTGTCCACCACACCTAATGAGGTACATCTTTCGTGGTTCTATTGATTCTCAATCTTGCCTTTTTTATCGGCTTCACATTCACACTTGCTTTTTTTAAACTAATGCAAACTTGATGGGGTTTATTTTAGCTATTGCTTAGTATGCCATTCCTTTGCTACACTGTAATTCCGGTGACTCTTTACCTAGCTTCATAAATCTAAGCCAGTCTAGATTAGTATATTTTCTCCTCTGCTGTTTATGTTGGTTGGTGGTTTACATAATCCAAATTGAAAGCACAGGAACTGCCTCCTGCTAATTTTCAGTGTTTGTACTTGCAACACTGGAGCAGAAATCATCCATCATGGTATGTTCATCAGCCCAACCTTTCAATTTGGACCAACAGTCCTCTAAATTAAACTCCTAATATTACTTCCATGCAAAGATTAAACATATTTTTTCCCTGCGCCTTAACTAGGTGATTTGCCGGCGCGCGCGATGGACTAGTTTGTACTATAGTTGTAAACAAAACAACATGTAGCTCCTTTTCGTGTTTACCAAAAGGGCAAATGGAGAAAAAGGCACACCTATGTAAGCCGAATTGGACATTTGGACTGAAGAAGCATTTAAAAAAAATATTCTGGATTGATTTTATTGTTTACTTTTGGTAATGGACAATAACACGTTGACACTAAGCAGTTTTTTTAGATGATGTTGACACTCAACAGTTAAATCATGATAGATTTCCCAGTTCTTACATCTACAAAGAAAAGGAAGAAGAAGGTCCAAGTACAGGAGTAAATAGATACTATATACTCCCTCGGTCAAAAAAAAAATGCAATTCTCGATATTTGAGAAGTCAAACAGTTTGAACTTTGACTAAAGCTATATAAAAATACTAACATTCATAATACAAAATAAGTACCATTAGATTAGTTATATGATTATTTTTATAATATATTTATTTGAATACATAAATGCTAATATTATTTACTATAAATTTGGTCAAACTTTAGCTAGTTTGACTGGCACGGATTCTATAATCGCATTCTTTTGTGAACCGAGGGAGTGCTAAGATAAATTTATGAAAAAAACAGCAAAGCTACAACATAGCATACGTCAATTAAAAATTCCCATCAACGTTTTGTCACTAATCGTGTTTGCCCAGCTGCTGTGCCAAGGCCCGTGACTGAAGCCCAAGCTGAAAAGCCCATGAGAACAAGGAAGCCCAAAATCAAGTATTTGTTGGCGCATTTGTGGTGTGGCTGTTGTTTTTGTCCGAGGAAGAGGTTCTCGGTGGTTTCACCAAAAGCTCTCCCTCTCCCTAGTGAATGCCATAGGGGGAGAGGCTTCATAGAGATCTACTTGCATGTGGGGAAGGCCTATGAGTTATACACAGAGTTACCCATCCAAAAACTCGGCCTTTGTGAGGACATCCTTACGAGAGACATGTTGAGTATCAAACATAGGGGTAGCTTAAACCTTTGGATTAGTGCCATGATAGTATGATTAACCCCCTAATTGATTCTCCTAATCAACTAGGGGCTTGGAGGATACACCCATCGAGTGCACTCATGCACACCCTCTGGCCCATTAATGAATGGCTTGATGGGCCTCAGAATGCTCACTTCGGGAGAAAGCCTAGTGCACAGAAAATGAGCCAAGAAGATAAGTCATTGCCCAAGTCACTCACACTCGGGGGCTCGACCAGACCTAAGTGGTTCCCGACTTTGGGAGGCGGCAGCCGACCAAGGGCCACTATGCGTCCCTGCACCTTGCTTGGGCCTGCTCCCCATCGCCTGACAGATGGGCAGAGCCATAGGATGGCAGAGCCTCTGCCGTTTCTGCTCCATCGCTCCCATGAGACAAGTGTCATCATCCCCACCACCGCCAAATAGCAGGATCACTCTGAAAGCCCTAGTCTGGTTATGGCTAATTGATGAAATCTATTGGACTAACCCTTTGTTTAAGTAATGGATGAAGTTAGGGTGGTCCAAGTCCAAGTGGTGGAGCAAGATGAAGTCCATGGTGATGAAGGTGGACAAGTGATGATGATCAAGGCTCTAACTTGGAAAAGAAGAAAGAGAAAAACAAAATTGGCTCAAGGCAAAGGTATAATTGATAAGGCCATTTTGTTTTTACCAATCAAGACACCATAGAGGGTGTGATTAGGTTTAGGATAGATAGTCGTACTATTAAGATGGGTAATCTCGAAGCAAATACGGTTATCTAAGTGCCACTAGGTGAATTAACTCCATGCATTTACATTATAGGACTTAGTGAGTACTAACATCCCTTGGAAAACATGTTTGTGAAATGCTAACTCACGTGCACAAGTGATGGGACTTGGTGGAGTTAACACATTTGCACAAGGGATGAAGAAGTAAAGAGATGAAGGGTCACTGCATTGACTAGATGCTGTCCCCGGGTGGACCGGAACCCTAGGCTCGGCCAGGGGTGCTGGACGGACCGGACTCTGGCTTGGCCAAGGACCGGACTCGACTGTCGCACTGTACACTGACTGAAAAATGCGCGCAGAGAGGACCGGACGCATCAGCATCCGGTGTCGTTTTGGTCGCTCTCTGTTTGAGATAATTATTTCTTTGGACGCTTGGCGAGTCCGGTCACCTGGACCGGACGCGTCCGGTCAACGATCAGCAGCTCTGGGAGCTCTCTGTTCGTTACCGAACTCTGAATGCCAGCGAGTCCGGTCACGTGACTGGATGCTGAGGTGGCACGACAATTGGGCGGCAACGGCATGATTCAAACGATCGACTGACCGCGTGCTGACATGTGGCGGACTGAACGCATCCAGTGCCCCCTGCAACGCATCCGGTCAGTGCGCAGAGTGTTGGGTGAGTTGGCCAACGGCTCTTTGAGCCTTGGGGGCTCTATAAAAATGGGTTGGTCGGCTCTTGCTCAATCTCTTAGCTCTCTAACTCATTGATACACCTTGTGAGCATACTCCAACACCTCCCACTCATCTAGCTCTTGATTTGTTCATCCAAGTTGAGATTGGGAGAGATCTTAGTGCATTTGCTTAGAGTTTGAGCATCTAGTGGCACTAGCGATCGTGTAAGCTACGGAATTGCTGGTTACTCTTGGTGGTTGCCGTCACCTAGATGGCTTGGAGCAGTTTGAGGAGGTTGGCACGTGTTGGTGATTGTTCGTGGCCATCTTCCAGTGATTTGTGAGGGGTTCTTGGGCTTATTCTCTGGCGGAGCGCTAAAAGCACCTCTATTGGATTGCTCGTGACATTGAGCGCCCTCATCTTGTGTAGGTTCTTGCAGTGCCCATTTGTTGGGCTAGGCGTGGTGCCTATTAGCTCGCAAACCACCAAGTGAATCGGCTGTCACAACGAGGACGTAGCTTGACGGCAAGCAAGTGAACCTCAAATAAATTGTGTGTCATTTGGCTCTTTGATTTTCACTTGGTGATCATATATTGTCTCTTGCCATGATCAGTATATCACCTTCACCTCTTGTATTTACTTTAGTTGATATACTTGTGTAGCTTGTTGTTTAGTTGCTTAGTTAGTTGAGTAGCTAGTTAGTTGTTTAGTTTCCTTAGTCTCTAGCTAGCTCAACTAGAGTAGCTTTAGCAACTTATCCTTATGCGTGTCTTAGAGATCATAGAGAACTAGAATTGTGGTATAGGTGGCTTGCAACCCTATTAGAGCTAGAGAAAAACTTGCTATCGTCATTTGTCATACTAACCCTTTGCTCTACTGATTTTGTAGAAAATTTTTATAGGCTATTCACCCCCCCTCTAGCCATTTAGGACCTTTCACACTCCCAGGGGCGAGGTGCCAACATACGTGTGGGTGCGCACGGTTAATCACTAGTGTCTATCTTTATGCAGGAAAGAATCCCTCTACATCCAAGCACTCGTGTCTCAGCCACACCTTCTTGGTTGACGCGTGTCATCCTAGCTCCCGCGCCATGTTGGCACCCTATTGTCCCCTTATGTATCATGCCCTCTCCATAACAGCCCCCAAACGTTTGTCTAGCCCATGTTATGGCACTAGACACGAGCCTCCTCTAAGGGCGGATCATAGCCACAGTGCTAGGTGTGTGCGGCCACATTCATAACAAAATAGGAAAGCAGCGATAAAAGCTAAATTTTCACCATATTTGTACTCTCATATCATAAAACATTACACCCACAAGACAAGTGCACCCTTTTCGGATTTATTCTAGCTCCACCCCTAGCCTCCCCCGTGTGCTTGAGTCGTGTTTTGGGCTTAGATTTGTGGTTGATTGGGTCATGCGTGGAGCACGCCACAGAAGCACTCGGATCAGAATTGTCATGGCCGAGGAAGATGTGGCGATCATCTCCTTTGAATACTAGCTACTGCACTAGCTCCGCCGTCACTGTTTGGTAGGGCTATGGGAAAGAATCCCCCTTCATCCGAGCACTCGTGACTCAGCTACTTCTTGATCGACGTGTGTCATCCCACGCCATTTAGCACCCTATGTATATGTATTGTGCACTCTCCATGATAGCTCCCCGGACGTCCGTCCGGACGTCTAGCCCGTGTTATGACCCTAGACAAGTGCCTTCCGCCCTCCCCCGTGTGCTAGCATCATTTTGGGTTTAGATTTGTGGTTGATTGGGTCATGCGTGGAGCATAGCGCAGATCGGAGTCGTCATGGCTGAGGCAGATGTGATGACGAAGGCTGCCTCATTCGCCTCGTGCGGTCGTCTCCTTTGAATGCTGGCTGTGCACCAGCTCTGTCGTTAGTGTTTGGTAGGGCTCCGCCCCGTTTAAAAGAGCTCCAACTCTGACTCCTCGTGTGTGTCATTTTGGGTTTTAGAAAATGTTTGGCAAAAACGGCTCAAGTGACAATCTTGTAATAATGTGTAGTAGGTTTGTGAGTAGTAGCAGGGAGAAGCCATTTTTTTCTCTGGATCCTCTATATAAAAACAGCTCCGGCTCCCAGAGTTGTTAAATCAAAAATTTTAAACTTTGATTGAATTTCTAGAAAAACCATAGCCATTCATGGACAGAGGGAGTATGATCTAAGATGTAATCAATCAGTGGAAGCCATAGCCATTTATTGAAACGAGTCCCACTGCGGTAGCCATCTCCTCCCCTCGCTACCAGCTACATGTGCATCCGTGCATGAGCATGACCATACGACGGCGGCAAGCACGGACACACCCATTCATCTTAGAGTAAACCATGCCTTTGCCGTGCATACGGTGCTAGTATACTTATAAATACTTATATAAGGTTCCGTTTGGTACAACTTTATTTTATTAGTGAATCTATTTTTTTCAGCACCACAAGTAGCTTTATCAGTGGAGCTAGAGCTATTTTGGTAAACCGTTTGGCCAAACAACTTCACATAGCTCTTTAAAATATGATATCACGAAATCCCACGCTAGGCACACCAGAGCGAGTTAGAGCTGAATGAAGTTACAATTTTCCCCTCCATCTCCCATGCATCCATCCTCATGAAAGCGCGTTTTAAGAACCTTCTTAGTTGGAACTATTATAGGCCGTTTGGTAGCGCTCCTCAGGCAGCTTTAAATTATCTTCGAGAGTTCCCTATTTGCCTTCATAATACTTGATTTTTAGGAAAATAAGAAAAAATATCTCTCCAACAGTTTTTCGTACATCCTCTTAATATTTAGGTACTTATAAAACTGAGCTAGCTCCGCGTAACTTTAAGCCGCTCTTGAGTTCCGCGGATCCTTCTCCCGCGCAGTACATCATCGAGCAGTTCAGGGCCACGACGGGTGCGGGAAGCTCGAGGACGGCGCCGTCAAGAGCATGTACGCGTCCGGCCGGGTGCGCCTCTCCATGCTGCAGGAGCCCGGCGGCGGCGGGGGATCAGGCGTCATCGGCAACGGCGGCGGGCGCGGCCACGAGGGGAGCTTCGTGCTGTGGCAGCTCGCGCCCAGCATGTGGCTCGTCGAGATGTCCGTGGCCGGGCAGAGCGTCGCCGCGGGCAGCGACGGCTGCGTCGCCTGGCGCCGCACGCCCTGGCTCGGCGCCGAGGCCGCGCGCGGCGGCTCCCGCCCGCTCCGACGCGCGCTCCAGGTTGGCACGCCCGCTCTCTCCCACTCACTGCCACCACCGATCTCTTTGTTTGTTTTTGCAGGAGCCCGGCGGCGGCGGGGGATCATGTCAAAATTCAGCTATTGTTGCTCGTCTGATTGCTACATGCTGTTGCCGCTGATGCGTACCTGCTGCTGCCGCCTGATGCCTGCAGATAGCCTGTGCTTTTGACATGAATGCTGATTGCCTGTATTTTGCATATGTGTTCGTATATACACAAGTAAAATCAACATTTGATTCTTTAAAGTTAAATATTAGGAATTATTGGAGATAACCTTCTTTTTTTCTCGTAAAACCTTTTTAGAAGTTAAAAAATATAGACTTTCTAGGAGAAATATTTAGGGAACTTTTTAATATGCTCTTAGGAGCAATTTCGCTTTTTCACCGACCAAACGGGGTCAAATGACTCCGCTCCGGCCAACTCCTCCCATATTTTATGCTATCTGAAGTTGGACAAGACCTAGGAAGCTGAAAACCCAGCTTCGGATGGCTCTTCAACTGTGCGCGCAGTTCTTCTCCAAAACGCACCTCTACAGCTCACTTGCTCTCCTTTCAAGCGGATAAGGACAAGGAAGCAGAGAATAAAAAGAAAGAGAGAAAATAAAGAGAAAAATTGAAAAAAAAAGCATTGTCAAAACAGCTTCATCTCCACAAACGGAGCTGAAGTTGAAGTAAAAAAAAAACTACTCCGCCGATAAAGTAGAGTGGGATCCTATATTTTATTTTATTTGGCACAACACAGTGAGCACCTCTGCGCTGTTCATCCACTGCGGCAGGTGGCTACGACTGATCGTCTACTGTTCACTGTGCATCCACTTTTTCCCGTCGTGTTCATCCATTATTGTTTCCGTCTGCAATTGTTCAACCACTGCTCACGACGGTTAATCCGTTGTTTTCAGCTATTCCCTTTCTTCACTGCTCATGGCGGAGTGCCGGAGTTCATGGGGTGCCCGTTCTCCGCGGCGGAGGACGACGCCGGCGTGGCGCGCTCCATCCTTTAGCTGTGCAGCCTGGACAAGCAGCGGAGCCTGGCGGTGAACAAGACCGGAGCCTACGTCAGCGTTCTGGAGGGCGTGGTGGTGACAACCGCCGTCGAGAACAAGCATTTCTTCAGGAAGGGAATCCTTGGGGACTGGAGGAACCACATGACACCGGAGATGGCAGCAAGGCTGGATGGCATCGTCGAGGAGGCACTCAAGGGATCAGGATTTAATTTTGGGTGCACCAATACAAGTAATTAGGGCGCGTTTGCCATGGCTACACCTGTGCTCTACCATCGTCAGTTCGTCACCGGAGTTAGAGCCACAAAGAGCCTCAAATCGCAGCTTCGATCGTCTTTGTATGCCAAAAACAACTCTGACTCGTTTACCGTAGGCCCAGAGCATCTTTATCCTTCTACTTCGGTGCTGAGGCGAGACGGCACCAAACAGACCCTTAAATACGGGCACAACATTGCAAATAAATGTTATTCCTTTATTAGTGCATTTATAAATGTACGATTGTCCATCATACCGGTCACTAATTAGTCTTGTTATATTTCTTTTTCGATGGAAAATGAACTATATGTTGTTGCACTAACTGTAAATCAAACCATTCACTTATTTGTTAAAAGTTAACATGCATCCATTGATTATAAACAGATAAATAGGGATGAAAATGGACGGAAACGGGCGGAAAAACTCCTCTCCCATTTCCGTTTCTATACTTTTAGCGAAAATGGGATTGGGTTCGGACGAAAAACAGAAATAAAGCCGGATGGGGATATACGGAAATACGGAAACAAATAAATATGGACGGAACATTAAGTTAGAATAACATGATCAAATATTCTCGAGTATACATGAACAAAGTCACAAAATAATATACACGTATGAAGTTATCGGTCTAATATTCACTAGCATGCCATGTGTTAGCATGTTAACGTGCATAATTGGTGACTAGTAGGTTTATGAGCATATCAATTTCTAGACATATCTCACATAGATTGAAAACGGGATGAAAAACGGAATAAATACAGGTCAATTCCAGATGAAAACGGGATCCCATGAAAACAGGCGGAAAAATCCCTCTCCCATTTTCGTAAATATGGAAACCGGATCCCACAAATACGGAAATGGGCGGAACAAGGTAGAAAACGGAACAGTCAGAACGAGATTTTTTTCCATCCGTTTTCAACCTTACAGATATACCAAGAGGGAAACATGCTAGCACGTGGTTTATACTTTCGAGTTTTTAGGCTAGTGTCAGTGCAGCTTTCATCTAAGTTTCATTTAATACTGTGACAACAGATTTGATTGCTTGACAGGTCAATTGTGAAGAGAGATAAAAAGAGTTTCGTAGAGTTTCATGTAGACAAAAACCCTTTATCACGGTTACCAACATCTATAATGGACAAGCTTCGCTTAATTTGTACTATAGTTGTAAACAATATGTAGCTCCCTTTCGCGTTTACCAGAAGGACAAATGGAGAAAATGCACACCAATGCGAGCCGAATTAGACCGAAGAAGCATATTTAAAAAAATAAGTAGTCTGGATTAATTTTATCGTTTACTTTTGGTGATGAACAATAACAAATTAACACTAAGCAGTTTTTTTAAGATAATGATGATAACACTAAGAGCAGTTAAATCGTGATAGATTTCCAAGTGGTATCATTTTGAAAGAAGAGGAAGAAGGTCCAAGTACAGGAGTAAAAAGATACTATATACTAAGGTAAATTTATGAAAAAAACAGCAAAGCTGTAACATAGCGTTACGTCATTTAAAAATTCCCATCAATGTTTTGTCACCAACCGTGTCTGCCCAGCTATTGTGCCAAGGCCTGTGACTGAAGCCTATACTGAAAGGCCCAGGAGAACAAGGAAGCCAACATTATTTGTTGCCACCAAAAGCTTCTCCTCTCTCTCTGAATGAGTGGGGTGGGAAGGCTACCTGGAGATCTATAGGGCCCGTTTGCAATGGAGAATTTTCGAAGAAATTTCAAAGGATTGTCGAACCTGTATTTTGCTGATGTCACCTACTGTTTGGAACGAAGGAATCGAACTTCCCGTTCCTCTAGAAAGGTTTCCATGGCTCATCAAAACGCAGGAATTTTTACATCCACTCTTGGCCAAGGTTTTGGCGGAAGACCGAGGCGCACGCTCTCATGCGCACTAGAGAGAGAGAGAGAGAGAGAGAGCGCGTGCTCACATGCACGGAGGAGTGTCTGTGGTGCCACCCCGCTGCGCCGCTCCAGAACTCGCCGATGTTCGGCTCACTCATGCCGCTCTAGGCCCCGGCGGCACCATGCCTGCCTGCACCACTCCTGCGCGGACGCTTCACCGCGCCGCTCGTGCCCCGCTTGGTCGTATCGTGGCGCCGCCAGCACCCCGCTCCGCCGTCCCTTGGCCTTACCAGCGCCTGGTCGCATCCGCCCTTTGTTTCTGGAAAGGATAAATGCCACAAGGTTGCTGGATTTTTTATTTGGCTCCATCGTATGCATACGGTGGATAAGCAAGGACATGGACCTGCGGGCCCATACGTAAGATAGTCATGAACAAAATGTGCAACTAATTATACTCTCATATTTTATTATTATCGTGTTATGAATTCCTATGTTCCAAAACACCTCTACCTAGTTATTTCCTGCAGTTTTTCTTTCCTCTATTTTACCACTACACATCTATCATATTCCTGTGTTTTTTCTATTCCCATGTTTTTGTTTCCTTCGTTCCAAACAGGCCTTTACCTGTGGGGAAGGCCTGTGAGCTATCCACGTATCCATCTAGAAACCCTCGCCCTTGCAAGGGCATCATTACGAGGAGTTCCAACGAGGATTAGTGAAAACGTGAACTTTTCGATACTAGGGGGAAATCTTTTTGCGGTAATTTGCATTCTCTAACTCAATTTACGTTTATGTATTTACTTTTTTCACTCCTTGGCGTGTCATCTGTCTTCCAAGTCTAGTTTGCTAGGTTAGTATATAGCTATGACTGGAGCCAAGGGTATAAAACTCTTTTAGTTAGAGACAGGGGATAGGCTAGCGTCTGGACGTCTAGACGGACGCCCGCGCCTGCTGCGCACCCGCGCGTACGCAGGACAGGCGGGACCGCCGCGCCGCTCCGTTTCCCGCTTGCATGCACATGGGAACTGCCCCATGCCCGCACCGCTTTCCGCGCGCATGCGGGGACCGCCTGTGCTCGCTCCGTATCGCTCACGCGGGGACCGCCTACGCCTGCGCTCACTTTCCCGCTCCTGCTTATGAAGCACTTGCAACATGAAGCACTTGATGCAACATACGTCTAAAATAAAGGAAACATTTGGGACATACGCTTGCAACATATGTCTATAGCCACTGCACAATGGCGGACCCAGCGGGTAGTCCTGGTAGGCCCGGGACTACCCGCCGCCGGGCAGCTCACCAAGGACTCTAGGGCCGCCCGTGGCCGACCTCCTTCCACCCCCTCCGGCCGGGGACGAGGCTGCGGCCGTGGCAATGGGAAGGGAGTCGGAGCCGATGGACGAGCCGGGGTGGCCGCAACCGCTGTGCCTGCGCCGGAGGGGTTCGGAGTTGGGAGATCAGGAGCTCGAGATGGAGTTCGTCCATGCGGTGGCGGTAGTGGATGGAGGCACTGGGGAGAGGAGAGGGTTCGGGGATGGGCGGAGCGGTTGCGGCGTGTGGTTGCGGTGCTGAGGGGGCGGGATTTATGGACGCGGAGGCGAGGGGAGGAGGAAGGGCCAGGTCGTGGAGCTCGCTGTCAATGGCAGCCGCAATTCGGTTGCGCGGGAGAGTGGGTCAGGGCGCGAGCGACTGCGTTGGGCGTAGTGCGGTGGACGGCTGGACGCGGTAGCGGGAGGGGGCTGGCTCCGCGCGGTGCTCGGTCCGCGGACTTGGTCGCGTGGGGCGGCCTCGTCGCATGGGCGCCGACGATGGCGGAGGCGACAGTGAGAGGTAGGGGAAGAGCCTGACAGGTAGGCCCGCTGGACAGTGACTGAGCGAGAGAAGGGCTTGGGCTGATTGGATCTATAGTCACTGAACTTTTTTAGATTTTATTGCAACTTTTTTAGTGAGTGAACTTTTTTAGATTTTATTGCAATTTTTTTGGTCAGCGATTTTTTTCAGATTTTATTGTATTGTGTTGAAAAATTTTGATTAGGACTACCCTCGTTTCAAATCCTGGGTCCGCCACTGCCACTGCAACATATATGCAACATTCAGATAAACACTTGCAACATACGTCTGAGGTAGATGAAACATTTTGAATAGACAATTGCAACGTATGTGTATAGCCATTGCAACATACAACATTTGGATCTATTTGCAACATGAATATGAAACACTTGCAACATTCTCTAAACATATAAAACACTTGAAATATGTGTTTGCAACATATGCTTTCAGCGCAACATGCACGGGCGTGCCGGGCGAACTGGCGTGGTGGAGGCAGCCGTGCGGAACGTGTCCGGGCATGCAAGTGGCGTAGTGGAGGTGGCCACAACTGCAGCAGGCAGATGGAGATAGTCGTGGCGGGCGGGACGCGCACTGAGCAGGGCGAATATGTGTGGGCGGGACCAATCAGCGCGGGCGGGGTGAGCCTTCCAGACGGACGGACGCCCGCATCTAAGCGTTACCGTTAGATATAGCAACATTTAGAAAAATCTATTGCACGTCTAAATAGAACTTATTTAGGTTTTTAGAATTGATTTTTGGGTCTTAGTTTTTAAGTAACCTAATTCACTCTTTTTTAGACATCTTGGCCTCTTCACGTTACATTTTCAAGCCAAAGACACGTGAAGGTGCTATGGAGAGAGTGAGAACAATTATTGATATGCATTGATGTCGAAAACATATAGAGTACCACATTCCAAATTATAATTCGTTTAATTTTTTTGACCCCAACTTTGACACTCGCCTTATTCAAAAATTTATGCAAAATATCACTTCTTTTGCCGTAGCTTGCTTTATTAACAAAGTTGTTCTTCAAGAATAACTTAAATTTGACTATGTTTGCACAAATTTTTTGAATAAGACGAGTGGTCAAACTTAGGGTAAAAAAAGTTAAACGAATTATAATTCGGAACGGAGGGAGTAATTGATAAGCCTATCACAACTTTATAAAGATTAATTACATCTATATATATTTATTGTGTTATAAAATGCATAAAGAGGGAATGCTAAGATATGCAATTTTGATTAGTTATAGACTAGTTTATCAACCCGTGCTCTTGCACATGCTACAATATTTTTAGGAGATATAAGCATTAGTTATTAATTATTTAATACCTCTAGCTAATAAAAATTACGTATATTAAATTGTATATTTTTCCCTTTAGTCATTTCTAACATAATATGCATAATGGATACTTTGTAGTCTCTATCTAGTTGTGATAAATTTATCAATTAGTGGTCTATATGTTTTTTCATCCATATCCTGAGACTTTTTTTTTCTATTTGCATGGTACCTCTATGTATCTTTAATATATATTTAGCTAAATCATAAGCTTCAACTATACTGGCTCTTGTGGTACACTATATCTTATGATGTCATGAATCTAAATTTTTGTTCTCAAATATTAGTTTTATCGATTGGTACATATTTTTTATTCTCAAGTTAAGTTAAAACTCTTGTACTTATTGTATCTTTTATTAACAATTCTTTCGTGCGTTTTAAGAATAAGGACTTTAGATTGCATACTGCATTCTTAAGTACTATGCATAAATAGTCATTTAAAACATGCACCAAATTGCTTAAGATTAGTGGTAGGTAGTAGTGCTAACTTCAAGGGAATATTAAAAATCTATTTACTCCATTAAAAAAACTTAAAGGCTAGGAGATATAGCTACCTGTGGTCTCCACTAGCCTCTCCCACTTCTCAAGGTGTTTGAATTTTTATATCAAAGAATTATTTGTGTACTATAATGTTTATATTATAATATAGGCATGCCAAAAGTTTTAGTTAACTTGTATAAATATATCTAAAGCAATAATTTATATAAAATGTATGATATTGATTATAATATAACTTTAAATAATTTTATATATCATTAATATATGAGTCATTAAGGAAATATTTTTCATGATTGCTAAAACATAACATATATATTTATCTCTCATACATGATACATCCATGTTTACTTTGTCTGCATGGTGGCACAACATGTATGTTTACTTTATTCAAATTTTAATATACTAATATAAATAGAAGTGGGTATTTATATTTAACATATATATTTATATTGAATTAATTTTTGTGATAGCTTAAATTAGTATCTATTTTAGATATAAGAGATATTTTTGTTTATTTCTATGACGACTGAGGTGGATAATTTTAAATATAAATCAAAATGTGTTACTTTATATTTTTCATACTTGCATATATGGGTAGTTTGAATGCAAACGTAGGGGTTACAGTGCATTATCTTTTATAATGACAAATGTAAGTAATTTATAAAAACTAATAAAGTCCGTTTGGATCCTTTCATTTTGGAGAAATTAGAATCTACTTTATGGATTAGGCTACTTAGCTTGGAATTTGATATTCCATAACTTTCTAAAGTTTAGATATAATCTTGTCTTAAATTCATGGTGTGAGACTTGAGAGATAAAATTTGATTTCATAGATCCTCATACTATGTTTATGCTCTGTACCTTATAGCACGCTCTTTGGCTCGCTCCGCTACGTATATTTGGCATATAGCCATATTAACTTAATTAATTTGTGTATAAATTATGATTAGTAGAATGGATTTCAATCCAAGGATTCAAACAGTCTTTAGGAGTTTTTAAAATTATCTTTGGTAATATCAGAGATAGGTAATTTAGATACAAAGTTAGCGGGTTAGTTAGTAAGATACGATGCTAAACAAAAACTTTATTATTACTATGTGTATATGTTTCATAAGATTCTAGCCCGCGCGTAGGACGGGTTGATGGTTCAGTGATTCGTGACTAACGAACTTAGCTAATGTAAAGTCGTGCGTCAACTAGCGCCATACCGTACGGGGCAGGCAATTATCGACGGCCGACCAGACGACCTATGGCTTCCACACACACATCTTTCACAACTGAATTGATGCACAACCTACCGAACGCGTACCACTGTGCATAGCAAACTTCAGTACTACAGTCGTCATAGAAATAATTTCTACATACTACATACCATGCCATTTTAAGGGACTGGACTGGACTGAACCACCGGCTAACTGCACAAGAACACTACTCGATCACTGATCATCCCTGCCTAGAACCACAATGCATCGATCAGCTGACAACTTGTTGCTGCTTGTAGCTGCGGCCACCTTATTGAGCCTCTCGCTTCTCACCCATGCGCATGCGCTGCAGAAGCCTCAACATCCAGATCCAGCTGGTGGCCGTAGTAATGTTACCTCAAGAAGCTGCATACCTGAGGAGAGGGATGCGCTGCTGGCGTTCAAGCGAGGTATCACGAGTGACCCGGCGGGAGCCCTCACCTCATGGCAACAAGACCTAGAAGACTGCTGCCGGTGGAGAGGCGTCCGGTGCAGCAACCGGACAGGCCACGTCCTCAAGCTTCAACTTCGTAACGAGCAATTCGGCAAAATTGATTGGAGGCCGGTTAAACCTCTGGTTGGCCAGATAAGTCGTTCTTTGCTCAGGTTGGAGAATTTGGAGTACCTTGATCTGAGCTGGAATGACGTCGAGGGCTCAACAGGTCGTATTCCAGAGTTCCTGGGCTCTCTCAAGAACTTAAGGTACCTTAACCTCTCTGGCATACAGTTTTTTGGACCTGCTGTCCTTACCCACCTTGGTAACTTGTCGAAGCTGCAATATCTCGATCTTTCGTATATGGGAGGAGACGGAGGGTTAACCTACACATCGGATTTGTCATGGCTAGCACACCTATCTTCCCTTCAGTATCTTAGCCTTGGTGGCATTTTACTCCGTGCAAATGCTGACTGGATGCTTGTTCTGAACATGATTCCTTCTATAAGGGTCTTGGATCTTTCCAACTGCGGGCTCACAAGTGCAAACCAACCGCTCTCACATCTTAACCTTACAAGTCTTGAGAAGCTTGATCTTTCCGACAATCTGCTTGACCAACCTGTTGCATCCTGTTGGTTTTGGAACATAACAAGCCTCAGGTACCTCGACCTTGACTACAGTGGTTTGTATGGTCAACTCCCTAGTGCACTGGGAGGTATGACATCCTTGCAGTACCTAGATTTATCATATATAAGTAGCAACCTAAGCATGACGATGAAAAGCATGAAGAGCCTATGCAACTTGAGGATCCTAGGCCTCGACAATTGTTTCTCACAGGGAAGTATGACAGAGGTAATCGAGAACTTGCCACGGTGTTCATCAGCAAACAAATTGGTTGAGCTTTCTCTGGGATCAAATCAGCTTACAGGGGACATCCCAACATTGATGGGGCAGTTCACCAGCTTAGTAGTGCTTGATCTCAGCAGCAACAATATTACTGGGCCCATCCCATCATTTATTGGGTCTTTCACTAGTTTGAAGACCCTTGACCTCTCTCATAACCACTTTAGTGGACATGTACCATATGAGATTGGTATGCTCACTAATTTGATCAGGCTTGACCTGAGCAACAATAACTTGGATGGTGCGATAAGAGAGGAGCACTTCACTAGTATAAAGAACTTACAATACATTGATTTATCTTACAGTTCATTGAAGATTGAGCTCAGTTCCGAATGGCAACCGCCATTTAGATTACTTATTGCATCTTTTGCAGCTTGCCAGATGGGTCCATTATTTCCTGCCTGGTTGCAATGGCAGGTGGATGTTCTATATATTGATATCTCAAGCGCAGGAATAACTGATAAGCTTCCAAATTGGCTTCATGGTTCCTTGTCCAATCTCATATATTTGAACATTTCCAACAATCAGGTGAATGGACATCTCCCAATACACCTTGGAACCATGCCATCACAAGAACTCTATCTTAGTGCAAACCAATTAACTGGTCAAATATCAGCATTACCACCAAACATAACCAACTTGGACATCTCCATGAACTCCCTGTCAGGACCTCTACCATCAAATTTTGGAGGTCCAAACCTAGTAGAGCTGTCCTTGTACTCCAATCACATCACTGGTGGTATTCCGAGGTCTATTTGTAACTGTGAGGAGCTGGAAATTTTAGATCTAGCAAACAATTTTTTAGAAGGGGGACTTCCCATTTGCTCTGGGAGGAGCAGTATTCAAAATTTAGAGTTAAGTAACAATAGCTTATCTGGAAAATTTCCATCATTTCTACAAAATTACACGAAGCTGCAGTTCCTTGATTTAGCTAGGAATAAATTCTCTGGGAGATTGCCAGCATGGATTGGAAACTTAGTGAGATTACAATTTTTACGGCTGAGTCACAACATGTTCTCTGGGAAAATTCCGACAAGCATCACCAATCTTGAATGTCTAAAATGCTTGGATATAGCAAGCAATGGTATGTATGGTTCTTTGCCTAGGCATTTAGGTAACTTAAGCTCTATGAGACATAAATATTTGGAAGGGCATCATTTCAATTGTCGCTACTCTCAACCAGTTGAGTATAGGAGTGTCACTTTGTCTCAAGTCATAAAGGGACAACAACGTGACTACGGTTCTGTACAAAGAATGATGGATATGAATATGACGGTCATCGACCTATCTTCAAACTACTTCACAGGTGAAATTCCTGAAGACATTGCTACTCTTGATGCAATACAATCTTTGAATATCTCAAGGAATTATTTCAGCAGGAACGTTCCCAACAATATTGGGGCCATGCAACGGCTAGAATCACTTGACCTTTCATGGAACAATCTTGCAGGAGAAATACCATCGAGTCTATCAGATCTGACATTCTTAAGTTATTTGGACTTGTCATACAACAATTTTACAGGAAGGATACCATCAGGATCGCAGCTTGACACACTCTTTGCATCAAATCCATCACTGACCCATCATTTATTGGGTCTTTCACTAGTTTTCTCTGCGGGGCTCCTCTAAAAAGAACTGTTCGAGCAACAAGTTGCCACATTTGAGAAGAACTGAAAAGGTAATGGGCCTGAAATGTTTTATCTTGGACTTGGATGTGGCTTCATCGTGGGTACCTGGATGGTCTTTAGTGCTCTACTGTTGATGAAAGGTTGAAGAATCGCTTACTTCCATCTCTTCGACAAGCTGTACGACAAAGTATATGTGTTTGTTGTTGTTACTTGGGCAAGACTTGCTATGAAGACAGTAACTGAATGACAAACTGATGGCCAAGGTGAACAGCTCCTGGACAGTGCTTCAACCTGCAACTTGTGCTCAGTCTTTGTGTCTAAATGAAGCCAGAGAAGTGTAAAACTAGCTATCGACTTGTGCTCAGTCTTTGCTTCATTTTCCTTGAAGCCAAAAATAAGGTGTCTTATGTTAGTACCTGTGGATATATATACATGCATGCAAAAATGTATCTTGTAAGGATATTGTTTGTTAGAGTATTAAAAATATATGGTTCCTTTAGTAAAATAGATAGAGTTTGAGTATGTTTCCATATAACCTTAACTTGTGTTGTACTCCAAGACAATCTCTTGTACTCCTATATAATTCAGCTACTAGGCTCAACAATATATATATTGACTATTTCACCAATTGGTATCATGAGTTTAGGTTTAGATCCTAGACCATAAACCCTAAAGCTTCTGCTTATATGCCCCACCCCCACCCCCCTCCAACCACATGGAGATCACCCATGAAGATCTCCACCGGGGGCATCACCACTTGTATCTAGGATTTGTGTCGCCGATCGTATTGATTGGTGCCCTAGAGAGCATTTTTCCAATCCATTGATAAGGGTTTTCTCTCTCGCCAATTGTTGATCGGCTTTTGTTTTGGTTTTTCCAGTCTAAGATCAGTTTGTGTTGCCCACCGTCGTCATCTTTGCGTGTCTCTACTCTGGTGTCAGCTTCGACTCACCTTTGTCTCTGACTGTGTGGCATAATGTGGCATGCGGTGTTCCAGGGCACGCCCTCATGCACCAACTCTACACCTCTTTGTCCACACATCGCCAATCGTCGGCTCATTGTGGCCTCCATCGATCTGGACACCTCTACCACGACAGCCTCCATGTCACCCTCAGCACCACCCTAATGTTATTTGTCGCTCATCCTCTAGCTGCTAACCCTGCCTCTCTGGTGCGAGCGCTCAACCTAGGTGAGAGGTCCCCACGAGCGTCCAAGAGGGGGTTGTTGTGTGTCTAATTAAAAACCTTAATCCTAGGGCTCAAATAAAACTACCACTAGGAAAAAAAAATTCTCGAACATACCACTAGGAAAAATGATAAACTAGTTCTAGCATGTTGTACACCTAAGGGTTTTTCTATGTGCTCTAACTTATCCTTTAACCCAAAAAATATTTAACAACCTAGAATCAAACCTTTCGGCTAGCCTAAACTAATCTAACAAGGTTAAGGTCACACAAAGCCTGCACAAGCTAGCCTAAAATTTACTAGTTTTTTAGCCCAATTTGCAAATTATGTAAAACGATTTCTAGATGTGGTTGGGTTTTGTCCCGTCTCAGAAATCGATCTCTAGGGGCGCTTGGGTTTCGGCTCGCCTCTAGAAATCGATTTCTAAAATGGTTGGATAGCTGATTATAGAAATCACTGAGTAGAGGTAGGCCAAGAAGCCGCCTCTAAAAATTCAACACAGTAGCCTCTACAAATGCCTAGACTCCTCTTGTTAATATATGATACATAGTTTTGCCTACTAATTAAGAAAAAAAGGACAACACTATCATGAACGATTTCCAATGTATTCCTTACAACTGATATAAATCAATTTCCTCTATGTTTCAGACGAGCACGTACAACACCCAATCAAATAAATCAAAGACCAAGACCAAGGCTTTGCAACTGGTGGTCAGTAGCCGCACGACATAGCTGGCGATTGCATAGCGCGGTCCCCAGCAACCGCATGCAGAAGCAGCCGGACGGAGGCTCTAGTGATCCTGGAGAGAAAAGGGTAAAAAAAAGATATTGTCAGTAGCTTCAGGAGTTCAGGTTCTCTACCAAAAAAAGGGTGTATGTACACAAGAACTAAAAGGCCTACAATGTTCCTCTCGTAGAGAAGTCTTCAGGCCTTTCACAACGCTCCAAGCTGTATAGGAGCTTGGTCAGGCCAGATAGGCTCGGACAAAAAAAGTTATGGAGTTGATATCCTCGCAGACCATCAATGTAGCTTGCAGAGGAACCGATCGGTCCATCTGACACAATACAGAAGCACTCACCAGAGAATGCGATGTGGGTAAAGCAGTCTCTAGAGCACATTTTTTTAACTGTTCTAGAGCACATTTTCAACTGACAAAGCTGACGGAAAGCAAATTTGGCTAGTATAGCCTGCGGTGGAGAGACAGTGGTTCCCGTACTCCATGCCGACGTGTGAACATAGCTTTTTTTCTCAGGCTAACATTCAGATACACCCGCGTTGCTGGTGCCCAGTGACAGGGAAATCAACCGTACTTGTTCCTATTTAAATGTGCAGGACATAATTTTCTTGACAGGTGATGCAGGATGCAAATTGCGTTTGCTAGTCCAATGCGAAGTTCTTATGACTTTTTTTTGCCATGCTCGTACTCTTCATGAGAGAAAAAAGCAGCCACAGAGCAACAAAGCAGGAAGGAAAAAAGCAGCAACAGCAAGTAGCCAGACATGGGTTTCTCCAGCCTTGCTCTCGGCATGCTGCTGCTGCTCTCCTTGTCCTCTGTCTCCTCTCATGCCACTCCATGCCCTGAGCAGGACAAGAGATCCAGCCTCCGCTTCATTTCAGAGCTCTCAGTGAATGGCGGCCTTGCTATGCCGTCATGGCAGAACGACACGGCAGACTGCTGCTTGTGGGAAGGCATCACCTGCAACGGAGAGGGGGTGGTCACAGAGGTCTCCCTGCCCAGCAGGGGACTCCAAGGGCGCATCTCGCCGGCCCTTGGCGAACTCACTGGGTTGCTGCACATCAACCTTTCATGGAACACTCTGTCTGGTGGACTTCCACTAGAGCAGCTCATGTCCTCCACCAGTAGCATAGTCGTCATCGATGTCAGTTTCAATCACCTCGAGGGAGAGCTAGGTGAGCTGTCATCTTCAGTTTCAGTCACCCATGGCCGGCCACTGCAGGTGCTGAACATCTCGAGCAACCAGTTTACTGGAGAGTTTCCATCAAGAACATGGAAGCTGTTGAAGAATCTGGTCACGCTCAATGTGAGCAACAGCAGCTTTAGCGGGCAGGTACCATCTTCTTTCTGCCTTGCCTCGGCATCCATCACCGTTCTTGAGCTTCAGTACAATCAGTTCAGTGGAAAGATTCCCCTCATGCTCGGCAACTGCTCTAATCTGAAAGTGCTTAAGGCTGGTCACAATAACCTAGGTGGGACTGTCCCTGATGAACTGTTCAATGCTACCTCGTTAGAGCACCTGTCATTTCGTAATGCTGGTTTGCAAGGAACACTTGATGGTTCACCTATTGGCAAACTCAGTGATCTGGTTACTCTAGATCTTGGAGAGAACAATTTCATAGGCAAGATTCCAGACTCGATAGGTCTGCTCAAGATGTTGGAAGAGCTCCATTTGCACTACAACATGATGTCTGGGGAGCTACCATCAACTCTGTGCAACTGTACAAATCTCGTAACGATTATCCTCGAGAACAACTATTTCAGTGGAGAACTTACCAAGGTCAACTTCTCCACCCTGATCAATCTAGAAATGCTAGATCTTCTGTATAACAACTTCAGTGGCACAATTCCAGGAAGCATCTACTCTTGCAGCAATATGGTTGCACTGCGACTGTCCTACAACAACTTCCATGGGCAGCTTTCGCAGAGAATAGGCAACATGAAGTCCCTTATTTTCCTATCAATTGGCTCCAACAATTTTACAAATATAACAAATACACTTCATGTCCTCAGAGATTGTAAGAACCTTACCTTCCTATATCTGGAGACCAACTTCAAAGGTGAAGCCATGCCACGAGATGAAACGGTTGATGGTTTTCAGAATCTTCAGGTTTTCACATTGCATATGTGCTCATTGTCTGGAAAATTTCCTCATTGGATATCAAGGCTCAAAAATTTGAAGGCATTGTTATTGCATAGCAATCAGCTCAATGGACCAATACCTGCCTGGATCAAAAGGCTAGAGTCACTACTCTATCTAGACATATCAAATAACAGATTAGCAGGGGAAATACCAAGTGCCCTAATGGAGTTGCCAATGCTAACGACAGGAAAGGCTCCAACCAAATTGGATCCTACGGTATTTGAGATACCTGTTTCTTTAGGTCGATCGTTTCAGGTCCAGGAAACAAGTGGGATCCCAAAAGTGCTGAATCTTGGTCATAATAACTTCACTGGTGTGATTCCCCAAGAGATTGGTCAGCTGAAATCACTGATCACGCTCAACATTAGCTTCAACATGTTATCAAGGGAGATACCACAGCAGCTCTGCAACCTGTCAAACCTGCAAGTGCTTGACTTGTCTAGCGACCATTTCACAGGCGCAATCCCGTCGGATCTCAACACCCTGCACTTTTTGTCTGCATTCAATGTTTCTAACAATGACTTAAAAGGGCCAATCCCAACTGGAGGCCAGTTCAGCACATTCCCAAATTCAAGCTTCGAAGGAAACCCAGAGCTGTGTGGTATCATGGTCAATCAGCTATGTGGCTGGGCAGAAGCACCTCCTCGCTTCTCCACTCCCTCCAAAGAACAATCAGACCGAAGGGTCGCCTTCGTGATTGCTTTTGGGGCTTTCTTTGTTGTAGGGGTACTTTATGATCAATTAGTCTTGGCAAAGTATTTTGGCTAGTCTCACTTCATTTTTGGATTTGACAATAGATTTAGTAATACTTGCCTTCTGTCAGGTTTAGCAACACCTGTAACGACTGAGCTTTGCAGCCTTTGGTCATATCTGTGAACCCTATTTTCCTTCTCACGAACTGTAGAAGGTATGCAGCTTGTGTGGACTTCTCACTTATGGGCTGAAGCATGTTCCATTTGGGGCAAATGAAAAGGTTGCGTGAAACAGTTGAAATCTTTTCTAAAAAAAAGGACTCAACTTAGATGGAAATTTAGATAGATTTCCACGTAGCCGTACTTCCAGCAGTCATGTTTTCCGCTGAAGAATTGCAACGTGAAGGACATGGTAGGAAGGGCAATAGAGGCGGCGCACCGGCGAGCTGTGAGCGCGGATGCGGGCTCCGGCGAACTTCGGGCTTGCAGCCGCCGGGCGGCGACCTCGATTCGACGTCCCTGCACGCAGATCGAGGGTCGCCAGTCAAAGAAGTCTCCCCCGAGCTGCAGAAAGAGCAACACCGGCCAAAGAAGAAGGCCGCGCCCTCACGCGGGGGCGGCTCCAGACTTCCCGATGGCATGCGGCGGAGGCGGACGTGCTCCCCAATGGCGCACGTCCCCGAGCTGCAGATCGAGCGCCGGCGGCGCAGCGGTTCTCGATTTGGCGTCAAAAGAAACAGGAAACTATGTAGATTTTCGTGAGAAAATATGTTCATCATTCAATTTTTTTTGGCTGTATAATAACACTGCGCAGATAAGTAATGGTAAATAAATATATAAATATATAGGTGCACATTTCATTTTTCAAGAAATCATACTTCTCTTTAGTTTGACTAATAAACATATATAAATAAGTATTAAAATTTATGGTATGTAATAAGTAATAAGTATCATCAGATTAAGTGTAAAAATATATTTATAAATAAATTTATTTAGATATATAAATATTAATATTATTTTCTATATATCTAGTCACTCAAGAAATTAGATACATTTATATTGGTACTGAGAAATCATTCTGTTGCTTTGGCAAATTGGATGGAGAGAGTATTCATCATTCTGTTGCTTTGGCAAATTGGGCCATCTAGGTGGGCTGGGCTACGGATGTAGCCTGCAGGACAAGCAACTTAAGCAGGGTGTAAATTTGGGCTTATGGCCTAATTGGTTCGCTTCCAAAATTTGTCATGCAAATGATTTAGAAGCCATGATTTTGTTTAGTATTTTGTTTGCTATCAAAACTTGTCAAACTCTCATATTTGGCTTGCCAAATCCATGGCAATGTTTTTACTCAACTTTTGGCTTGCCAAATCTTTGGCATGACAAATTTTGTATGTTAACCAAGCATGCCCTTAATTTAGTTGGCACGTTGCAAATACCATGTAAAAATCATTCTGATTTTAGAAATGTTTGTTCAAATAATGGCAGATGCAGGGGGTTCATGTTTCCCTGTAATAACGCAAAGTTTGAAGATTCAAAGCCACCGTAGTCTGTTAATTAGGATGAAGAACTGTCGGCGAATGCATATTTGATTGTGGTGTTTCTTTGAAATATATACGCTGAAAATATAAGACAGTACACTGGAAAAAAATTGCAAACCAAATAAGTAACCTCCACGGTCAAGAACAGCTGGTGAAAAAAATAAAAAAGTACACTCATCAGGCAAAAGATGTCCTCGCTCTCATTATACATAGTTATATACACACAGCACAATAGTTATGTAAACTCAGACTTAGCCAAAATACTTTGACAAGACTATTTGATCATACAACACCCCTACACCAAAGAAAGCACAAAAAGCAATCACAAAGGTTATCCTTCTGTCTCTTTGTTCAGTGGTCAGAGCAGAGACCAGAGGCGCTTGAGCAGAACCACAAGGCCGGTCAATAGTATTTCCACACAACTTTGGGTTGCCTTGAAAGCTTGAATTTGTGAATGTACTGAACTGGCCTCCTCTCGGAATTGGCCCTTCTAAATCATTGTTAGAAACATTGATTGTAGAGAGGAAGTGAAGGTTGTTAAGGTCTGATGGGATTGCACCTGTGAGAAGGTTGTTTGACAAGTCTAGCACTTGCAGATTTTCCAGGCTGCAGAGCTGCACCGGAATCTCTCCGGACAAGCTGTTAGAGCTGAGATTGAGTATAGTGAGCGATTTCAACTGACCAATCTCTTTAGGGATCGCTCCGGTGAAGTTGTTATAGCCAAGATTCAGCATATTTGGGAAACCACTGATTGTCCGGTACTCAAATGATGTACCTCTGTAAACAATCAGCAGAAATATACTTTGATCCAAATGGATCGCCGTATTTTCTGCTGTTAGCATTGGCATCTCCATTAATGCTGTCGGTATTTCCCCTGCAAGCTTGTTGTATGATATGTCTAGATGGAAAAGCGACTTTAAGCTCTTTATCCAGGCAGGTATTGGTCCACTGAGTTGATTATTTTGCAAAAACAGCACATTCAGATTCTTGAGCTTCGATAGCCAAAGTGGTATCTTCCCTGATAATGAGCACCTAGCTAGGGAGAGAATCCGAAGATTATGAAATCCTTCAATCGCTTCATCTTCCGGCATGGCTTCACCCTTGTAGTTACTGTTAGTAAGCAGGATGGTGAGGTTCTTACAATCCTTGAGAACATGGAGCGTGTTGGTGATGTTTGTAAAATTGTTGAAAGCAAGTGATAGGAAAACAAGAGACTTGAGGTTGACTATCCCCGGTGAAATCTGCCCGTGTAGTTTGTTGTCAGCCAGCCGCAGTGCACTCAGATTGCTGCACGAGAAGATGCTTTCTGGGATCGTGCCGGTGAAGCCGTTGAACAGAAGATCCAATGTCTTCAGGTTGGTCAGGGCAGAGAACTCGATCCTGGTAAGCTCTCCGCTGAAATAGTTGTTCTTAAGGTCAACCGTCATGAGATTTGTGCAGTTGCTCAAGGCTGGTGGCAGCTCTCCGGACATGTTGTTATGGTCCAGACGAAGCACCTCGAGTCTCCTGAGCTTACCTATGGAGTCTGGGATCTTTCCATCTAGCCCATTACCTCCAAGATCAAGATGGACCAGATTTCTGAGGTTGGCTATACGTGCAGCACCAAACTTTCCATACAAGCCATTGTTGGGAAGAGAGAGGTGCTCCAACGAGGAAGCGTTGAAGAGTTCATCCGGGAGAGCCCCACTGAATCTGTTGTGCCCAGCCCTGAGTACTCTGAGCTCAGAGCAGTTACCTAGACCAGCCGGGATGCGTCCACTGAACTGGTTGTAGCAGAGGTCAAGCACGGCGAAGGACGACAATGAGCTGATGCAGAAGGAAGTAGGCATCCTTCCATGGAAGCTGTTGTTGCTGGCATTGAGCACGACCAGATCATCCATGGCCTGCCACGTGGCTGACGGGAACTCCCCTGTAAATTGGTTGCTGGAGATGTTCAGTACCTGTAACAACCAGGTTGAATTAGATGATGGCAGCTCGCGCAGCTCTCCCTCGAGGCGGTTGAAGCTGACGTCAATGGCGACTAAGCCACTGGGAGAGGACGACTTCAGGAGCCGCTCCAGTGGCAGCTTGCCAGACAGTGAGTTGTGGGAGAGGTTGAGGCGGCGTAGGCCGGTGAGGTCACCGAGGGCCGGCGAGATGGGCCCCCGGAGTCCTCTACCGGGCAAGGTGACCTCAGTGACCACCCCGCCGCCTCCACCGCAGGTGATGCCTTCCCACGAGCAGCAGTCGGCCGCCGTGCCATTATTATTCCGCCACGATGACGTGGCAAGGCCGCCGTCCCATGAGAGCCCCGCAATGAAGCGGACGAGGGAGCTCTTCTCCTGGTCAGTGCATGGCCTGCCACGAGAAGCCATGGAGAGCAGCAGCAAGACGACGAGTGCGAGGGTGGAGCTGAACAATGGCATGGTTGACTGTGACTGTGAGCTGCTGCCTGCTGCTGCAGCTGCACGTTTTTCTCTTGATGAGGCTTTTACTGTCATGGAGGGTGCTGTAATAATGTGGTAGTACCCTGCAGTGTATGCAGTACACGATGAAGGGTATGGAGAGCGTAGACAGGCCTCTGTTACAACAGCACGAAATATGATCTGATCAGACCATGGGATAACACCTGCACGTTCACACGAAATGGTGAGCCCTGGTAGCTAGGAATATAGGTCAGACTTGTGTGTAAATTCGCTTCACTTCGATGACTTAGAAAAGTGGAAATCGCTGTGTTTCTCGACTACCAGAGTTGTGTGTAAATTCCCTTCATCATTCCTAATCCTGAATCATGACAGTGGAGTGGACAGGTGGATTGACCTTGCTACAAAGATATATAGAACAGATGGATACACCTATCAAGGGATACACAAATGTCAAAAGTGAATAGCCAGCTCTCACAAGTTAACTACTTCGGTTACTCCAAATGAAACCATCCATGTACACACCTGGTTTATTAAGCCTGAAGAAAAGCAATGTTGATGTGGTGGGTTTTGACCCAAGAGTTCCATTGATGGCCGTGGTAGAAGGAGGCGGCTTCTCTCTCAATGGCATACCAAATAGATTGTGAAACACGCCACAGAGAGCGCTGAGCTGAGGTGTTGATACTTCTCATGCATGTTCCAGTTCAGAACCTGGTAAGTTTGTTTTGACATGGTACTTTGATAGATGGCAACAGACCGCAATGTTCCAGAAAAGCTGGTTTAGTCACGTGATTGCCTGCTCTTGATTACAACACTTTACAGCTGGTGAAATACAGTGGCAGGAAATTAGCATACCAGGTCAAGAAGACAGCATCGCCCACTTTTGTCCTCGTTCACCAACTGCAGTCATCATCGCCATCACTGCATGAAAGATACAGTTTGATCGAGTCTCCCCTCAATCAGCATCTTTTTCCTGAATCAATTGACAGTGAATAAAGATCATCAGTGGCAAACCTTCAATAAAATTCAAAACAGATGTAAATGACTTTTTTGTGCATCAAGTAATAGTTCAGCCATCCAGTGCAAAACCTACACAAATAACAGAACATAACATGAAAAAAGGCATCGGATCCAGCAGAAGTGGTAGGTACACCCACAAATTATTCTAATACCATTTTACTTTATTGTTTCTATACAAGAATAAAAGAAAAGGGCTATTTCAACATGATTCTCGCCAAGCTCTGTGCTTACTTGCACTCAGAAAACTGTACATGGTCCTCAGGGTCAACAACAGTGCACCTCCGCCAACCAGCACCTTACATCTCAAAAGCAGTGATGTGACAATGAACCAATGAGCACCCCGTGCCAATCAAACACTAATGGTCTAGCAGTGCTCTATACCCAGCAGCCAATTTAAGAGCCAGTTTCCCACGCTTGGTCAATGACTTCTTGCCGTTCCTATTTCTCTACCTGCTCCTTAGTCCTTACTTATCAATTGCCAACGTTATATATACACTCAGGTAGCATGCATCCAAGTTAGCCACCTTCCGCAACAATTTATTTCCAAATACCCTTGCTACTCAGATCAAAACTAAGATTTTTCATGAGAAAAAACATCCAAAGAACACCACATTCTAGGCTGGCCATGGCTTTCTTTGTTCTTCCTCTTGTGTTGCTTCTCTCCATGGCCTCTCCTGCCACCTCATGCAATAAGCAGGAGAAAAGCTCGCTACTCCAGTTCCTTGCTGAGCTATCGCATGAAGATGGGGTTACCGTGCCCTGGCGGGATAGCATGGACTGCTGTGAGTGGGAAGGCGTCACATGCAATGCAAGTGGAGCGGTTATTGAGGTCTCTCTGACCTCTAGAAGCCTAGAAGGAACCATCTCACCGTCCCTCGGCAAGCTTACTGGCTTGTTGCGCCTCAACCTATCGTACAACTCACTCTCAGGTGACCTGCCATCAGAACTAATGTCATCTGGCACCATCACAGTCCTGGATGTGAGCTTCAACCGTCTCAGTGGAGTCCTGCAAGAGCCTCTTCCGTCAATTCCTGAGCGGCCATTGCAAGCACTGAACATCTCAAGCAACCTGTTTACAGGAGAATTTCCATCCACAATTTGGGAGAATACAAGGAACCTGGGTGTGATCAATGCAAGTAACAACAGTTTTGAAGGATGGATACCATCTTCTTTCTGCATCAGCTCATCATCCTTTGCAGTGCTTGACCTTTCCTACAACCAATTCAGTGGCAGCATCCCTCCTTGTATTGGTAATTGTTCTGCACTTAGAGTACTTAAGGCTGGTCAAAACAACCTCAGTGGGCCCCTCCCAGATGAACTCTTCAATGCTACATCATTGCAGTATCTCTCTTTTCCTGATAATAGTTTGCATGGATTACTTGATGGTGCACACCTAATGAAGCTTAAAAATCTGGTTAACCTTGATCTTGGAGGTAATACACTAAATGGCAAGATCCCAAACTCTATAGGGCAGCTTAAGAGACTAGAGGAGCTCCATTTGGATAACAACAACATGACTGGGGAGCTGCCATCAGCTCTGAGCAATTGCACATATATCATAACGATTGACCTCAAGAACAATAACTTCAGCGGAGAGCTTCAAAAAGTCAACTTCTTCAACCTGCCCAATCTAAAAGCATTGGATCTTCTATACAAAAACTTCACTGGCACAATTCCAGAAAGCATTTATTCATGCAGCAACTTGGTTGCATTGCGGCTATCTGGCAACAACTTACATGGGCAGCTTTCACCGAAAATTAGCAATTTGAAGTCTCTTATTTTCCTGTCCATTTGTGACAACAAGTTTACAAACATCACAAATATGCTTCAGATCCTCAAGAATTGTAAGAGTCTCACCACCCTATTTATTGGGGCCAATTTCAAGGGTGAGGCCATGCCAGAAGATGAAATGATAGATGGTTTTCAGAACCTTAGAGCTCTTTCCATATCTGAGCGCTCCTTGTCTGGGAAAATACCTCTTTGGCTATCAAAGCTCAAAACTTTGGAGATGTTGTTTCTGCAAAGGAATCAACTCAGTGGACCAATACCTGCCTGGATGAAAAACTTAACTTCACTTTTCCATCTAGACTTATCATATAACAACCTTGCAGGGGAAATACCAATAGCCTTAATGGAGATGCCAATGCTAACAACAGACCTTACTGCAAACCATTCAGTCTTTGAGTTACCGGTTTATCTAGGTCATTCATTCCAGTATCGAATAATCAGTACTTTCCCAAAAATGCTGGATCTGAGTCACAATAACTTGACTGGTGCGACCCCCCAGGAGATTGGTCAGTTGAAATTGCTTGCAAAACTCAATTTCAGCTTCAACAGCTTATCAGGAGAGATTCCGAAGTAGCTTGGTAACCTGACAAATCTGCAAGTGTTAGACTTGTCAAGCAACCATCTCATAGGTGCAATCCCATTGGCACTGGACAACCTTCATTTCCTCTCTAAATTCAATGTTTCTCATAATGACCTGGAAGGGCCTATTCCAAGTGTAGGCCAGCTAAGTACATTTCCAAGTTCTAGCTTTGATGGGAACCCAAAGTTGTGTGGAATTATGGTTGCTAAACTTTGTGGCTTGGCTGAAGCACCTCCGGTCTCTGTTCCCTCCACAGAAAAAATGATCAAAAGGGTCTCCTTTGTGATTGCTTTTGGAGCTTTCTATATGATCAGATAGTCTTGTCACGGTATTTTGGCTAGTCTCTGTTTACATGTGGGTTTATGATAAATTTTGCGCTAGTTGGCTCCTACTCAGGTTACAAGATTCATATACCTGTGCACCATATGTAATTCCTTTTTATGTGTATATGAAACTTGTGAACTGGAGGGAATTTATGGGTCTGAACTAAAATAACTTTATAAGCTGATCTGTATTGAAGACTAAAAATTTGTCAATGAGGTCAATCAATTTTGTTTCTGTACAAGAACACCACGCTGTTAAACATGATACACTTCAAAGTACGCATTGAACAAGATAGTGCAAGCGAAAACGTTGACTTCAAGTTTGGCAACATATATAATTATCGAGATTTGTATAGTTACGATTACGAACCATATTTAGCTCCTGAATATGTTGAGAGACTGATAAACACTTGGCAAAATTAGTGAGGAAACAGAACGCAAGGACGAACAACCTCCCCTGATTATAACACTCTTCTCTTCCTGCCTGGTGCTGATGATCAACACTCTAATGGTGAAGATGGAAGAAATCTTGAGTGCGACCAAACGAAAACCAGAGGAAGTTAGCTACTTTTGGAGTCTCAGTTATTTTCATGGCTGCCCTTTTGTTCTGGTACATGTATGTACCAGTTCTTTTGGTTATGTAGTTGGTCTCTACTTCATGGACTTTGTGATTGCGGATCACAAGCACTGATGTATCTTCCTTTTCAATTGTGTTGTTATTACTATCTGGTATATATTGGATGAAAATTAATTTCAGTCATGAGAATTAATGGAAATGGGGATAGCCATTTAAAAACAAAGTCAACACATTTTTCCGTATAGTAATGATGTAGTTTGAGAAAATTTATGTTATGGTGTGGTCCATAAGTCCATTTGGGGAAAACTGAAAAGGCATGCAACTATGTAAGCCACTTAAATTGAAGCAGTCTAAATTTGTCATCAGAGAACTCCATCGATCTATGTAAATTTATATTCCACTAATACATTCACCGTCCAGTTTCTCGCTGGATAATAGCACTACGCAGCTAAATCATGATAAAATCCGAATAAAGTTGCTATAAATCATAGAGCTACCAGCTACAGAGAGAGCCAGGGAGGCAATAAATCAAGGCAAATGCTCCTCGAGCTTTTCCCAACAGGGGTTTTGCAGGATGTACCTCGGGAGCGCGTCTCCATCTCACATGACCCTCCAACCTAGACTGCGGCGACCGTCCTCCGGGACGTGCGGCGAGCCGTCGGGGCATCAGGCTCAGGCCGACGCAGCACCGGGTCAACGCCGCCGCCGCGTGTCGCTGTCTTGCGGCGTGTGCAGACGCGTCCGGCGTCGCGTCGCGTGTGTTTGCCTCGTCGTATTGGGCCGTTTATGTGATCTGGGCTGCGATGTGGCCCATAAGAAAAGAAGCTGTGTCCGAAGCCTAGGCTACATATATGGGCTTAATTTAGTTGGCACGTGCCCAATAGGTGGGAAATCACTCGAAAGATGCAAATCCGTCGCAGTGGCCGGCATAGTTTCAAGATTAAAAAAACAAAAGTTGATTTTTCAAAAAGAAAAGTTGGAAATATTTATAAAAAAATTAAAGAAATAAAATAGTTTATTAATTAGTTAGATTCTTTGTAGTGGAACCTATCCACCTAGATTGAGTCTCTAATTTAAAAAAACATTCATTGTCAGCTAGTATTGTTTTTTTTTATAGTTGACATGCTCAACAAAAAAGACTAACGCACCAGGTCAAAGAAGATCTCATCACAACCATTCTCCGGGTCAACAAGACTATTATTGACACTATACATATATATTCATAACACAATTGTGCATTTGTATATGTACAAAATAGCACAAAAGGTCCTACCACGCCTCCTTTACTCTGTGCATTTGTCAACGAGTTGCAACAGTCAGCAGCACGTGATATGATCCCACGCCATATGCCATCACATTTGCACGTTCACACGAAATGGTGAACCCAGGCTATAAAGTGAGGAATAGAGACCAGTCTTTCTGCCTAAATTCTCGCCTGATGCCGTGGAAAATCTTCGTGAGATCTTGTTGCATCGTCACTCTTGGTTGGATCATGGCGTATGTCGAGGAAAACGCAAATGTCAGATGTGAGCTGACTTGAGATTACCATTCACATATTAACTAATACAATACTCTGATCACTACAAGTGTAAACATCTCTGTGCAAATAAACCTGGTTTATTGAGCCAGAAGAAAAGCACAGTTGGTGATGAATTTTGGGCCAACAGTTTCATTGGTTCCAGTTCAGAGTTCAGACTACGGCAAGTTCCTTTTGGCCTGAAACTCTTCGATGGTTTGCAACAGACTGCAGTAGACAAGAAAAAACTGATTTAGCCACGCGATCAACCTGCCTGCTCACCCATTGTAACCCTACAGCTAGTGAAACTAATACAGTGGGAGGGAAATCAGCTTACGAGGCCAAGAAGACAACATCGCCAGTTTCAGTTTGCCACCTTGTCCTGATTCGCCAATTACAGTGACCACAGAATTAATCTGAAAAGGCTGGCAAATAAAGACCTTCACCTGGAAACAAAGGTATTTTAATGTGCCACAAGTCTAGCATCCAAGTGCTAATCTCACCCCTAACAATAATCCATATTAATTTAATCATATTGAATATAGGGCGTCAGTGGCAATCTTTCAAATAAATTTAGTAGGTGAGAGTGCAGACTTTTTGTGCAGACATCCCAAAAGGAGCTTCGCCGCTCGTTCGCTGGGCTGGGGCTGGGGCTGGCTGGCTGGCTGGCCAGCCCCCTCCCATGGCTACTGTAGCAGCGAACCAGCCAGCAGTACCACTCTCTCACGTAAACGAACCAGTCAACCGAACAAGCCGTCGATCATTATCAGAAACCCTTGATTAAACTGAAACGATTGCGTAGAGTGTTAAATAACAATTTAGCCCAACATCACTAGTTCACTACTATATTAATAGAATATCACATGAATACAATAAAGAGTACAGACCTTGTCTAGTCAACAACAGAATGGCCCCCTTTCCGGTCCAAGAGTCCAACATACATACACTGGCAAGTTATTCTAATATCAATTTTTGCTTTTCTATATAAAAAGGCAAAATAAAAAGGTAATTTATACAAGACACTTGCATAGAGTAGCATCTAGATTGACCAAACAAATATGATAGATATAAACAATGGAACTTATAGTAGATTAGATTAATGCACAAAATGCAAAGGCAGGCAGCTCAAGCAAATTGGCAGCATGAAACTCCAGGGCAGAATTTAGTAGTATTTCTGTTAGCTAAACAGTACTGTGCTGTGGTAAGCAAACTAATTGCATTACAAAACCACCCATTTTTTGGGGTCACCAACAATTCATATTCCCCAGCCAGCTCCTTACATCTCAAAAGCAGAGATGTGACTGTCAAGCAACGAGCATCCTGTGCCGTTCTAGATCAAACACTAATGATATGACGGTGGTCATTATCCAGGGGGCAATTTAAGTACCACTTTTCCAAGCTTAAGAATTGGAGTAGTATATATGACTTCTAGTATACTTCAAGTGCAGAGATTGGTCAATTGACTTCTCACAGTTCTTATTTCCTACCTGCTCCTTAGTCCCTATCATTCTTTACTTCTTTAGTACAATGGTCAATTGACTTCTCATTATCTCATAGTTCTTACTTTCCTACCTGCTCCTTAGTCCTCATCATTCTTTACCTCTTTAGTACAGCACCAAGCTAGCCACCTTTTGGAAACAGTGTCTTTGCAAATACATTTGCTACTCAGATCAAAACTCGTCTGAAAAAAGCCATGCAGAGAGAACACCATTCTTCATGCAAAAGCAAGGTCAGTAGGCTGGCCATGCCTTTCTTTGGTATTGTGCTACTACTCGCCATGGCCTATCCTGCCACCTCATGCAATGAGCAGGAGAAGAGCTCCCTACTCCAGTTCCTTGCTGGACTATCATATGAAGATGGTATTGCCATGTCCTGGCAGGATGGCACGGACTGCTGCAAGTGGGAAGGGATCACCTGCAATGAAACTGGAACAGTTATTGAGGTCTCTCTGGCATCTAGAAGCCTAGAAGGCAGCATCTCACCATCCCTTAGCGAGCTCACCGGCTTGTTGCGGCTCAATCTGTCATACAACTCACTGTCTGGTAGCCTGCCATCAGGACTACTGTCGTCTGGCAACATCACCGTTCTTGATGTGAGTTTCAACCGTCTCAGTGGCAACCTGCAAGAGCCTCTTCTGTCAATCACAGAGCATCCATTGCAAGCACTCAACATCTCAAGCAACATGTTTACAGGAGAATTTCCATCTACAATTTGGGGGAAAACAAGAAATCTTATTGCCATCAATGCAAGCAACAATAGTTTTCAAGGATGTATACCATCTTCTTTCTGCATCAGCTCATCATCCTTTTCAGTGCTTGACCTTTCCTTCAACCAATTCAGTGGCAGCATTCCAGCTGGTTTAGGTAAATGTTCTGAACTTAGAATAGTCAAGGCTGGCCACAACTGCCTTAGTGGATCCCTCCCAGATGAACTCTTCAATGCTACATCATTACAGTATCTCTCTTTTCCTGATAATAGTTTGCATGGATTACTTGATGGTGCACACATAATGAAGCTTAGAAATCTGGCTAACCTTGATCTTGGAGGTAATATGCTAAATGGCAAGATTCCAGAGTCTATAGGCCAGCTCAAGAGACTGTTGGAGCTCCATTTGAACAACAATAACATGTCTGGGGCGCTGCCATCAGCTCTAAGCAATTGCACAAATATCATAATGATTGACCTCAAGAGCAACAACTTTAGTGGAGAGCTTCAGATAATCAACTTCTTCAACCTGCCCAATCTACAAGCATTAGATCTTCTGTACAACAACTTCACTGGCACAATTCCAGAAAGCATATACTCATGCAGCAACCTAATTGCATTGCGGCTATCCAGCAACAACTTACATGGGCAGCTTTCACCGAGAATAAGCAATTTGAAATCTCTTGTTTTCCTGTCACTTGGTGCCAACAATTTTACAAATATTACTAATACGCTTCGTATCCTGAAGTACTGTAGGAATCTCACCACCCTACTTATTGGGACCAGCTTCAAGGGTGAGGCCATGCCACAAGATGAAATAATTGATGGTTTTCAGAATCTCCGGGTTCTTTCCATAACTGATTGCTCATTGTCAGGGAATATACCTCTCTGGCTATCAAAGCTCAAGAATCTGGAGATGTTATTTTTGAACAGGAATCAGCTAAGTGGGTCAATACCAGCCTGGATAAAAAACTTAAATTCACTTTTTCATCTGGACCTCTCACGTAATAACCTTACAGGGGAGTTACCAACAGCCTTGACAGAGATGCCAATGCTAAGAACAGAAACTACTAAAGCCCATATGGATTCGAGCGCATTTAAGTTTGAGCTTCCTCTTTATTTAGCGCATTCATTCCAATACCGGATAGCCAGTACTTTCAAAAAAACACTGGATCTTGGTTGCAATAACTTAACTGGTGTCATACCGCAGGAGATTCAGTTGAAATCGCTTCAGAAGCTCAATTTCAGCTTCAACGGCTTGTCAGGAGAGATTCCACAGCAGCTCAGCAAGCTTACAAATCTGCAAGTGCTAGACTTGTCTAGCAACCATTTAACAGGTGCAATCCCATCAGCACTGAGCAACTTGCACTTCCTCTCTGAATTCAATGTTTCTCATAATGACCTGGAAGGGCCTATTCCGAGTGGAGGCCAGCTTAGTACATTTCCAAGTTCTAGCTTTGATGGGAACCCAAAGTTGTGCGGGATTATAGTTGCTAAATTCTGTGGCTCAGTTGAAGCACCTACAGTCTCTGTTCCGTCCACAGAAAAAATGAACAAAAGGATCGCCTTTGTGATTGCTTTTGGGCCTTTCTTTGGTGTAGGGGTGCTATATGATCAAATAGTTTTGTCAAGGTATTTTGGTTAGTCTCGGGTTTACATGTGAGATTATGATGATCTTTGATCTTAGTGCTAATGGTTTCCTACTCAAGCTCAGTGATATTCTTTTTAATGAACGGGCATGAGATTGTGTTATTTTTTAAAAAGAAATGAAGTGGCAGGAGAGCTGCTCATTATATGAAAAAAGGGCAGGCCCAACCTGGCCACAAATAGCACTATTCAGGGAGCCTCACCTGAGCAACAAAAAGGAACACAGCACCTCAAAAAAAAACTATAGTTTACACACGATGAAATCAAGAATTTTGAAGGAGAACTGCAAGATGTTTTGCTCCTGCCGCTGTCAAAAGCCTCACTTCATCTCTGATTTTGTTTGTACCTGTTGATTGGTGAGATTGTGTTATATAGTTAATTAGTTATGAACCATATTTAACTCCTTTTTCATGTCTAAAAAATGTAACTGGAGGAGATTTAAGGCTCGGGACTCAGGACAGACTAATTTGATGCAAATGAAAAGCACGTAACCATGTAAGATGATCTGGATTGAAGCAATCTAAGTTTGTAAGGAAATAAGAGAACACTCCCGTTAGATTTGTGTGTAGCTATAACTTCATCGTTCAATTTTGTTGCTGCACAATCACACTGCGCAATTAAATCATGATACAGTTTTCATGTAAACCATTAAATAAGACGAAACCCAGATCCCAGTGAGACAAGGCCGGTTACGCGCATCCGATTCCTTGGATGACCCAGCTAACAGATGTTTGGTCATTTCCAAAACTTCGAGCAACAAGGCGCGCGCCTCCGATTCACCACCCCCAACCCCCAAGGTTTGTGCAGGTTGTACCTTGGAACAGCGCCTCATTGTCGCTAGACCTTCCACCCATGACTCCGGGGAACTCCGGACGGCGCGTGCGGCGTCCTACAGCGGCCGAGCTGGCGGGAGCCACTGCGACAGTCACGGTCGGGTCGCCGCCACGGTGTATCGCTGTGCAGTGCCGGAGCGGATGGCTGGGCCCTAGACTGGGAGGGAGGTGAATGGGCCGTTTCGATACGGGTCTGGCCCATCAACATCACCATCATCATCGCCATGGTGCCGATGGTGCCGATGATGACAGTGATGTTGACGATGATGATGCCTATTAGTCGGACTAGCACTACAATACGATTAGATGATGACGATGACTACCACTAATACCTATTAGTTGCACTAGCACTACAATGCTACTAGATGACGACGATGATTATGACTACCACTAATGCCTATTAATTGTACTAGCACTACAATACTACTAGATGACGAGGATGATGATGACTACCACTAATGCCTATTAGTTACACTAGGACTACCACTAGTGGTGGCAGCGAAGATGGTGATCACAGCCTCGATGATTATGATGGTGATGACGATTTTGATGTTGGTCCTGGTGATTATGATTATGGCCATGGTGCTCGATGATGATGGTGATGTTGATGATGATGACCATGATAACCTAACATCAATCCCACTCCCACGACTTCAATAATATTACCATCAGTACTATTAGTATATTACCACTACTATCTATTATTGCTACCACATTGCTATCCAATATTTTTTCAAGATTGAACTATTTATCTGCATGTTAACTGTCATCTTTTACTCTTTTTAAACATACTCTATTTTCCCACTTTTTTTGACCTTTTACAAGCAATCAACAAATCATCAATGTTTTGGTCACCACTCTAGCAAGACTACCTGTAATACTACCTATACTACTACCAATATCACATGCCTGGTGATCATCATGATGACTATCAATAATGGCTATTAGTTGCACTAGCACTGCCACTAATTGTTATTATGATTATGGTCATGGTGCCGATGATGATGGTGATATTGATGATGATGACCATGCTACCCTAAGCTCAATCCCACTCCCACGACTTCACTAATATTATTACCAGTGGTATTAGTATATTACCACTACTACGTATCGTTGCTACCACATTGCTAGCCAATATATTTTGAAGTTTGAACTATTTATCCGCATGTTAACTGTCATCTTCTACTCTTTTTAAACAATACTCCGTTTTCCCACTATTTTTTGACCTTTTACAAGCAATCAACAAATCATCAATGTTTTGGACGCCACTCTAGCAACACTACCTGTAATAGTAACTATACTACTTATCACATGCCTGGTGATCATCTAGCACTACAATAGGACTAGATGACGACGATGATGACGACTACCACTAATGCCTATTAGCTGGACTAGCACTACAATACGATTAGATGACGATGATGATGATGACTACCACTAATGTCTATTAGTTGCACTAGCACTATAATACTATTAGATGATGACAATAATGATGACTACCACTAATGCCTATTAGTTGCACTGGGACTTCCACTAATGCTCGATGTGGCCCACAGAAAAGTTATATTGGGCCGAATCTTACATGTTGCACATTCGGCCTCATTTGGATGTGACATTGGACATACTGAGGGGTGCAACCGTGCAAGTTATGTTCAAAATCTTTCACCAAGTGAAAGTCATCTACAGTTGAAAAGTACTCAAAAGAAATCTGGATTCCAGTATTCGAGGTTCATAAATTCAAATCTGGTAACGTACAGCTAAATTCAAATATTTCCTATCTAAATTCAAATATGTCCTAGTCCTCGGCCTATTCCATTTCCTATTTAAAACTGTTTCCGCGTGGGCCGTCTCTGTCGCATACTCATACATTGCTTGTTCTCCCCCGGTGGCCTTCATCAGGCAGCTCGTCGTCCTTGACGTTATCTCATCCGGCTCGATGGAGACCTGCAGGAGCTGAACTTGATAATAATAATTAGATAGATGATGTTTGGGTTGGTGTAATAACAATAACTTTGTACCATGCAGAACTTTGTTAATTATTAGACTTTAGGGTGTTTGGTTTGAGAAATTACTCTATTCTATAAGAGGTGGTATATTATTATAAGTTTATTTCTCAAATTTAATAGTGACTCTATTCTTGTACTAGTACTAATTATTAGCTCGCGAGAAATTTTTTCTAGAACACGACTTCACGTGTATTTCATTAAGAAGAAGTAAGAGTGCCGAAAGAACGGCGTACACAAGCAACTATGAAAGAACCCATAGAGCAGGATACAAAACCACAGAGCGAGTGGTTTAAGACGAAAAACACAATTGAAAGCAAGGAGCGCGGCAAGGGAGGGCCCTCCGCCACAACCTAACTGACTGGACTTGCAAGAAAATAATGACGCGAAGGCTGCCAACAAGGGAGATGAAGCCACAGTGGCAAAGCATCCACCGAGAATAGGCGACTACGGCGGCAAAGCATCCGCCCGAACAAGAACCACGGCGGCAAAGCATCCGCCAGAGACAACGCGGCAAAGTATCCGCAAGCACAACACGGCAAAGCATCCGTGGCCTAGTAGCGACAACGGCGGCAAAGTATCCGCAAGCTGTGGGGGGCCATCACGCACTCAGTAGCAAAGCATCTGCATGAGGAGAGACCGGAACGACATCGACGGCAAAATATCCGCCCAAGCAGTAACGACCGCAAAGCATCCGCCAAAGATATCGCTAGCGGCAAAGCATCCGCTAGGGAGAAGCGACGGCTGCGGCAACATCATCCAACCTAGTTAAACAGACCAAAGCGTAGAGTAACTTGAAGCACACGCAGGCACAGTACAGCAAGGAGCAACTCTAGCCAGGAAGCGAGAGATGGATCGGCATGACAGCAGGAGTGCTTCAACGAAGCCTTCATGAAGTGACTGACATCCGCAGATGCCATCATCGTTGAAAGAGGCACACATTGAGATTTTCATCCCAGAACCTGGCCCGGCGACCTGTGCGACGGATAGAAGATTCGACGACGCCTCCAAGAAGGTGAATGAGGCATGCCGCGTCACTGCCGCCGGTCCAAGCAAGAAGCAGGGCAGGGCTTTCGCCCAAGGTCTATTCATAGAACGCGCAGGTCCGAGACAAGGCCACCTGTGGCACCCGGAGCGCGAGCAGCAAGCAGCCAACGCACCAGCACCACCTACGCAGGGCCCAAGCCACCAGCAAGGTGACTGGAGCGCCGCCGCAACGACCACCAGCCACGGGCCCACCAAGCCGACCGGCGTCAGGCCGCCACCGCTGCGCTACACCCTCCAACCCGGGGATCGAGCAGCACTGTCAGCCCCCACGCGCGGAGCCGCAGCGCCAAACCTGACGGCGTGGCTCGGCCAACGCCGCAAATGCAGGAAGCAGGCATGGTGCGGACGTCACCACGGCACCCACGCGGCCACCCGTGGCCACCGGTGACCCACAGCCCGACCGGGCTCGGTCCACAACGCCAACGCGGGATGCAAGCGAGGCACGGACGCCACCACGGCACCCACGCAGCCACCCGCGCACACGGAAGGGAGGAGGGGAGCCATCATCGTGCCGCCTGATCCGGCATAGGAGACGCAAGATCCGGCCAAGGAGGGCCAGGATCTACCTCACCGGCGACGCTAACCACCGGAGGAGCAGGAGGGGTGGGGGGGGGGAGGGGGAGGGAGGCGGAACTACGGACGGGGCTCCACTCGGGCGCCGCCGTGGGCCGCCACCGCCGCTCGCCGGAGAGCGGCGGCGGTGGCCGGGGGTGTGGCAGGAAGGGGTGGCCTCCGGCGGCGCCGGCGATGCGCCCCCGAGCCGCCCGTTGGAGCGCTCGGGGGAGGGGAAAGTCGACTGAGAGCTTAGCTCGTGAGAAATGAAATAACGACGTATCAACCCTTCAATGGTATCCGCACTTGTTGACTAAGAGGTTAGGTTTTGACCTGACCTCCTTGCATCTCCATGGCAGTGGCGCTTTGCACATTCGTTCCTGGCCTTGTGTCATGTATACGTATCCGACTCCATTAAGAGCCATATATTGGCATTACTCTTTTCACATACGACCGCAATATATGCACCGATGACCACGGGCAGTGGCGGATCTGCAGACTGTAATGGAACAACCTGGTGCGCTACTGAAACTGAACCAATCAAATCAACAGCATGCAGCGCA